ACACTGCTCAGCAATTCATCTTCGCACACAAATCCATTGCTGCCGTGAATCCCTTCCGCCTTGAATCGTGGACTCATTGGTCCTTTGCCAGATTTCCTTCTCCTTTCTCTCGGCCCGCCGCCCAACCATACCTTCATACATACAATGCCCAAGTCTGCTTCGCTGTAAACTGCACTCGGTTATTTTTGTTTCTTTTTCTTCTTTCCTTCCTCTCTCCCCATTGAAAGCAAATTTCTCTTTGCTCGCCTGACTTCTCCTCTCACGTTGTCATCCCCCTCCTCTGAAGAAGTGTCTTTTACGTCTTCTATTCCCTAGCTGATAGAGACGTCTCATTCTCGAAAACTCGATGAACGACGCACTCTAATTGCATCACTCATCGACACGGACATGAATAACAACACCATTTTCACTCTTCGAATGGTATTGACCCTAATAAATCCTGCATCTTGACAAAAAAGAAAGGATTCATTTCTTTTTTACCTCTTCTCTCAACGACAACTATTCAAACACCGGAGGGGCGAAGGTGGTTTTTTGCACGAGGGAAAGTGGTTCTATTGTTATCCATCTTTCTCAAACCTCTTCCTTTCTCCATTATCTCCTTGAACATTCTTTTTGAATCTTCCATCGTTTTTATCTTTCTTTCTCCGGTTCTGTTTAATTGAGGAGGAGGGTGAAGGGTAAGGATGATGGATTCACCACATAAGGCAAACCCATCAAAGGCAAGGCCTCATGGGAAAGATGGTGAAGATTCGGGATACTGCCTATCCCACTCTGCTTGGATGGATAATGATTCCCAAAATGTGCCCAAAAAAGACTCGAGAGAGCAATCGAAAGCTTCTTCACACCACCATCACCACCGACATAGTGGTGATTCTTCTATGAACAACCATGCAATATCACAACACCCTTTGTCGCCACAATACAATGGCCTACGGTCCTCTCTTCCACCTCCATCTCCATCCCCGCCACCAAACCCTTTTCCATATCACCATCCTGAACTGCCCTACCCTTCTTTTGGGGAAGCTACTTCCCAGGGAAGCCCGGCCGCTGAAGAAGCTGACGAAATCGAGCTTGAGAGAAACGACGACAGCACAACTGCCGCCATGCTTGTCCAAATCCCCACAGGCATGCAGCTTACATCACACCAGATCAAAATACTTCAAAAGGCGGAACGATTACCCCCAATACGGACAAGCACTCTCAGCGAGCTTGACTTGAACCATATCATGAGGAATATCAACTTGAGGATAGATGTTAACTTTGATCGTGAACTTCATTTCCAACCCATTGCAGGAGAGAAAGGCCACGAGAAGCGAAAGCTGGCGGAAGTTTATTGGGAGGCAATAGCACTGGAAATCTCCGTGCATAGCTATCAATCTACCAGCAGAAAGCAAAAGTCTGTCGATTCGTGGGGACACAAGCGAACAACCAGCAGCTCAGTGGGAGCTTTTGAACCACGCTTACCGGCCATGCTTGAGACATTAAAGGATGTCGTAAGCAGCCTCGTTCCGGAAAGAGATCAACAAAGCGTCATGCAAAATCTAGATGTTCCCTTTCTTTTGCAACAGGTGCATAAGGGGGTACTGGATATGGTCAATCTTACTAAATGGCTTGCCACGTTATTAAAGACCCACTGCGCACCGATGAGAGATCCATGGGCTGATAGAATGGTCGCCGAGATCAGTGAAGGTTGTGAAACTGGTAATATATACAAAATGGTGGAGGGGCTAAGAACGATGTTTGGGACTCTAGAGTCTATGAAATTGGTATGTCCCCAAATTTTCCTCTATTACATTCCTCTACAATACGTGCGAGAAGCTGAATGAACATCTTTCAGGATGTCGCAAATCACCAGATACGGGCATTCAGGGTGATTTTAATAGACGACACTGTCCGATTCCTACAAAGCGACTTGAAGAAAAGAATAGCGGCAAATGCTATAGACATTCAACAGGCAAGGAGATGGTACCTTAACCTTGGCCACCAACCGCTCTCCAAATCCCCGTATTTACAACACGAACTAAGAGGAAGCTACGCCCCCATCACTCCCCTATTTATTGGCCTTTTTTCTTTCCTGATGCCATTTGAGCATCCAAAGAGACTTGAGGACATATTTGAATTTGAGGCCGATAGACTTTGGTTTATACGGGCTGATGTACAGGACCTGATAGGGCTTAAAATATGTTCTCGCGTGTTTGAAATGGTTGCGAAAGAGCAGGGTCGACATAGACATAACCCTTACTACCAACAGGCAAAAGCTGCACTCCCGTCTCGCATTTGCAGCATCCTCGACAACTGCTCTGATGGTATGTCTGCTGGATTCAATTCCCGCTCTGTCAACGCCAACTCTCCGACTACCAATCACAAATGGAAAAACAACATTGGCTTGGTCTCGCTAGAGATTGCACAATGTATTTGTTCTCTGGGAGGCTACAGCAAGAGTAATACATTCCCCGACAGAAAGACTTTGGAGTACGTTGAAAAATGTCTTGACTCTTTCTTTTCGTCTCCAACTGGTCAATTTCGCGAATTCAACCTGTCAGTTCAGGGGGAACTTGAGGAGGCCACTTTTGGATATGTTAAAAGATACTTAACCATGACCCCTCTTGAAATATCCGAAGATCAACGCCCTAGAGAATACCCGGAGTCAACGAAATATGCATACCCTCAGAGACTGCTACCAGATGTCGATGGCATAGCCAAACGTTTAGCTCATGTGGGGGTCCTACACTGGAGAGTATGGGCTCCAGTATTATACCTACGTGAGGGCCCTGGGATAACATTTGCTCCTGGAAGCAATATCAGTACAATGTACGCGACGGAGTAATTTTCACCTAGATCTTGCGTCGATGATACCCTGCTTCTCTTCCGCTTGCCTCGATTGCTTTGATATACCCTCGGTATCAATCAGCCATCTCTACAGACCCAAAAATATACCTGTTTCCTTTGTTCCCTGATTCACCATAGACTTCCTTTGCTTGTTCATACTCTCTCAACTTCTTTAATATTCTGGGTAACGCGGTTCTGCAACGATATTATGTCGTTTCCTTTACTAGCCTTCGATTCTGCTCCTTGTTGTTTAGCGATTTGCAGTGGGAGCAAGGTGTGGGAGTTTCTATGTGCTATTTCTACGTTTTCCTCCTGCCTCATTTGTTCCCTTTGTTTTGTCTTTTCAGCGGCGGATTTCTCATGAATTTAATTTGATAATTATGAGAGTATTATGTATTATGAGGATATTAAAGACAATGCAAGCTAAACATTGTATTCTCGATCGCATTGCTCGTATTCTAACGTTATCCATCGTGTGAGTTAACAACATGGACTGTCCGTGTATAAATTAATTAATTAGTTATGCTAGTAGTTAACTAATTAGCTTCTTGTTAGGATCTTCAATAACTAGTTTCTCCCTTTTTCCAATCACAGAAGAACCAACCAGTGCAAGATCACAGCCAGTTCTTCGATGAAACGAGTAACTCACGTAACAACACTCCCCCAGTCATAGAATATATACCGCTCATGACAACTGCCCCGTACCTCGCTTATCACTGTTCTCTCAGGTTCCAGGCCATGCCGTCGATCATTTCCAAGTTGCACACCCTCAAAGTACGACAGCTGCAAAAGCTAGCACTGTCAATAGGAATATTATCATCTGGGACCAAGGTGGACTTGGTCAATCGTCTCTCTGAGACTTTACACACATACGACCATCAAGCGCGCGGCAAAAATGGCTTCGGGTCGAGTCACGGTTCAGCAGAGACCAAGCTACAGACCCCAAACGGCCCAAGACCGATGAGCATCTTGAGTATCGATATGGGAATTCGAAACTTGGCTTACGCACATCTGCTTGTTTTCCCTGCGGCCCAGGCAAGTGATGTCAGGACGATTGAGTCTGTATATCAGCCACTCTCTGCGGCAAAGACATCCCTGAATGCATGGGATCGACTTGCAATCTCTTCGTTTCCTACCTGCGATATCCATAAGGACCCTTCGACAATGTCAATTTCAAAACTGGGTGGACTACGAAAAGCTATATTTCAACCATCTTCTAATGCGCAAGATGAAGAGGAGCAGCCTGAAAAGGAGTCCAAGGAGCATTTTGCACCATATCTATATGCTTCCCATGCTTACACGCTTATCACCTCGCTTCTAGAAGCATACAAGCCGACACACGTCCTAATTGAACGGCAGCGATTCCGCTCTGGGGGTGGCAGTGCGGTCCAAGAGTGGACTATTCGCGTTGGCGTGTTTGAGGGCATGCTCTATGCTGTGCTACATACGTTACAGCAACAAGGGAAAGGGGAGTTTGGCAGACTCTTTGTACAGGGTGTTGACCCGCAGAGAGTGGTGAGATATTGGACTAATGATGAAGTGAAGGATACCACCCCAGATTCGAAGAAACGGGTGAGCTCAAAAGAAGGCAAAAGAGCCAAAATCGACCTAATTGGGAGATGTTTATCTCGATGTGTTGGTGTGGGCGATTTTGACAAAAGCTCAAAGCACGAGATACCCGTAGAGCTTGGCCTAGTTGAAGGGAGTCAGGCAAGGGAGATTGTTCAAGCATATCTCGACAGGTGGAATGCCGGAGGTAGAAAGGCAAAGAGATGTAATGACATTCGAGCTAGCATGGAACAGAGTAGCGGGAGCGTCGAGAACATTGGAAAGCTTGACGACTTAGCGGACTCCCTTCTACAGGGCATTACATGGCTGGAATGGCAAAAGATGACTGAAAAGTTACTGTATAGCAACGCAGTGATTCCTGCCTAGATTTTGAAAAGGGATATCTTGTCTAGTCGTTAAAAAATAATAGAAAAATAAAATAATCTAAGACATAATTTGGAAGAAGTTATAAAGGGTTTAGCATCAACCAAGAATCGAAGTGAATAAAATGTAAACAAGAAAGTGGCTTGTGTTGCGTAAGGCATGCAACCTAGAAGCTCCTTTAAGAATTATCTTAATTTCACCAAGCCATTATAACGTCAAATATTTAACAACATAACTCCCTAGTAAGCAAGACCAGTCGGGAAATGGTAGGCTGGAGAGCCGGTACCGTGGGGCATACCCTGGCTAGGATGGCTGTGATGGGGGGGATGGGAGGGATGGGCTGGGTGGGTGGGCTTTGGAGAAGGGAATGGAGGGGTGGCTTGGTCGGGCGACTTCATAGCTGAAGTGTGGTTACCAGCTTCAGCTTCCTGAGCCTTGGTTGGCTTTGATTCCTAGTAGTCAAATGTTAGACTATGCAAATTCGGAGTATTTTGCTGTAGCAGTTTTCTATGTAGACTTACGGTGGAGACAGTCACGGTAACAGTGGCAGTTGCCTGAGTGACAGTAGCTGTGACAGTAGCAGTTGCTTGAGTGACAGTAACTGTGGAGGGGGGAGGGCAAGTGCAAGGGCAAGTATTATCAGGACCTGGAGCGCCAGCTGGTGGCTGTGGAGCGCTGGTAGGAGCCGGGCCGGGATTGCCAGCTGGGTTCTCTGGAGCCTTCGTTTGAGCACTGCCGGGAGCGCCCTGGGAAGCGCTGGTGCAAACTTCGCTAACAGTAACCCATTCAGTCGAAGTGGATGTGCTGGTTGTAGTGGTGGTTCGGGTAGTGGTGGGCGGGACACTTGATTGAGGGCCAACAGGAGTCTGAAGGCTAATGTTAGTTTTCGTGCTTTTAGAACGGATATGTCAATTTGAACTTACGGGGATAACGGTGCGAGTCTCATGGGTGATAGGAACAGAAGTTGTGTATGTGTATGAGGTAACACTGTTTCCGGGTCCCAAGGTATAGGTGACTACAGAAGTAATCACAGTACAGCTTGGGTCCTGAGGAGTAGGCTTTGGGTTTGTTCCTGTGCCCATTGGAGCAGGAGACGAAGTCATTCCAGCTAAAGCGGTGTCAACTGGCTTTTTAGCAGGGGCCTCTCCCATAGAGCTGGTTGGGGTAGCATAGCCAGTGCTGAGAGGCACGCTGAGGCTGGAATCCTGGCGGTTGAAATGGCGGTATCTGTGGCGTCCATGGGAAGTGGCATCAGAGAAGGCAGCAAGGGCCACAGTAAGGGCGATGGTTGTCTTGGAAAAGAAATGCATGGTTGCTGTGTGGAAGAATCGGGAGTCGCAAGTTGGTGATATAGATCGAAGCAGGGCCTGTAGAAATAAATCAAACGAGGGACTTTGACGAAATCAATTCGTCTGAATGGCTCCTGTCAATGAATGTCACGCACTTCTCAGAGAGAGGCTGATGGAGCAAAAATGAGGGTATGGCTCTGCCAGAGATGAAAGGAGAGACTGGACGACGAAGAAGACAACGTGGAAGAGCGGGCAAAGGGAAGGGAGGGATGCGGCGAGCGTGGGCACCGACCCAAGTATATATATAAAGGCGTGTTTGACTCAGGGGGGTCCAAGACCAGGGTCCTTTTCTTTCTTCCGGCTTGGGTGGCCTTTTTCCCGCGCCATTCTCCGTAATCCTAAAATTACACCCCTTGCTAGAACCCTGGCGAGGCAGTTCAGAATACACCGTCTTCTCCCTCTGCCTCCAGTCGTCTTATCTGGTTTGAGGATGGTGTGCCGGCCGCCTCCACCCCTCAAGATGCTCAGCCAATTAAGGGACTGCGTTTCACGACTTCTATCTCGTTCCTTGCATGAAAGGGCCAAACACAGAGCGGCCTCGAGGGAGAAGAGAGGGGGCCAGACTATGACGAGGGGGGTTACAGCCAACCCTAAATTTCCTCGGCTTGCTTATCGCTGAAACAAACCTTGGGCGGGTACGAAGGATCTTCTTGTTGTCAGTGCTAATTTCCTCCTCATGTACCTTGCAGCCACTCAAGGAGAGGCATTTCGCGCGCAGATGGTCGATGGGAAACCATATCAGAGTGCAGTTGCAAAGCCAGCAAATCAAGGCCGCCACAGCCGCACTCCCATCACTCACACACCGTCTTGTATGGTCAGATGTCGGTGGTGAGTTGGCCCGTCGCCAATGCAAGGGCCGAAACCCATCAGCCACTCAGATGTCGGTGCTGCGAAGCGGGTTGGCTGTTATATTGTCATCACTCCACCCAGAGAGAAACGAAATATCCAGGCTGCGGAGAAACGAGGCTTGCCCTGTCAAGGGGCCGTGGCACCAAGTTTTTTTTTTTTTTTATCTTTTCCTTCTTTCGTTTGGCTGAAGGCATGCAAGTCAACACCGGCGTGACTTGCTTGTTGGCGCATATGTAGTTACATATACTCTGTGAATGCCCATTTCTGCTGCTTTTCCATTTCAATTGTTTTCTCCCTGTTCAGTGTCATGACCACCGAAGAAAGTTCTCCGTGTAGGTGGTGAGGTAAAATCTGAAACGCACCGTCGAGCTTGACGCTTGTATAGCTCGTTACAAATAACATCTTTGTACTTTTGCCGTCGGGAGTATGGAGTAGTCTGCCTCATGCTGAGCTGCATGAACGTTGCTTGGTAGATTAATCTCCCTTTCTTTTTCTCGTTTGGTAAAACCGTCGGCCAAGGCTTGCGACAAATATAAGAAGTCACCGAGCCGCCTGTTGGATTAAACATAATCGGGTAATGCAGCCGCAGCCCGACTCAACGACAAAATTCCATGGCCATGGGTCATGGCAAGATGTAAAATATTCATGCTCATTCTGGGCAGCCAGGCTTAGCCCAGGCCACGGCGGCGTGTAGTTACAACACTCGCAGCGTGTCAATTTTTTTTCCTTTTTCTTTTCTTTTCTTTTCTTTTCTTTTCTTTCTTTCTTTCTTTCTTTCTTTCTTTCTTTTTTTTTTTTTTTTTTTTTCTTTCTGTTCCTGACTAGAATTTATGCCTTGTAAAAAGCATTTCCGTGGCTGGCTTGTATTTTCCTTTGAAAGAAACGGCTGAGACTGGCTGTGACAGCCTCGCAACAGCGTCACTGTCAAGCGCCCAGAGTCCGTGTGTCAAGCCGTGATCTGTGGCGGGCATCATCGTCCTTGTAAGATTATTAGCCTGGCGATAAGAAGAATACCACAGTAAATATGGAGTACATTACTAGAACAACCGAATGTTGGGTATCCATTATTATGATATCGATGTGCTTAATTAGAGTAGCCGGGAACCTGGCAGGCTTCGTCCGCTTTCGTCACCTTCGTAGAATCTCCATTTTACCCCTTTTTGCTGCGCTTCGTAAGCTCCGCACTGCTTATTTTTATTATATCAGTTATCGTCTGCCCTCTTGAAGGGAGACGCTGCCATTGACGTCGCCACCATGCTCCGTGCAACTTCGGCAGATAAACGCTGTGGTGGAACGACTGCTGGTGTTGTTGCCCTGTCGATCGCATGGGCTGACAGGATCCCGATCCCCCTCTCGAGCCAAAGTCTTGTCGACTCGTTCGCTAACCCGCAGCATGTGCAACCAGTTCTTCGGTTCCTCCAGTTTCATCGGCCTGAAGATACGGGAGTTGTTTAGTTGTTTAACTATATTCGCAGCTGGTGTCTGTCTGGAGATGCAGCTAGCAGCAGCAGGCTTGTCCTCCACTCAACGATAGCCCTTGGCAGGACCTCCAAGCATCTCCCACTGTTCTCCGATAGAAGATACCGTGCCTGTGACAGCGAAGTCTTCCAGTCAGTTGGCCGCTGGTTGTCGTTGTTTTGTGCTGAGATACGAAGCGAAGTCGAGTAGACGTCAAAACGTCCCAAAGAGGAAAAGCCGACGACGGGTCAATTAATATCTTGAACATCGCCTGCGCATTAACAGATATCCATACTATTTCTTGTAACCGTCGACGCACCGGTGGCAGCGGTATCATAATCAACTTGACTGTTTCGAAGGGTTGATGCACGGCTTCAGCCCGTGTTTCTTCCGTTGCACGCCGGCTCTCGTGCCTCGATCAGTCGGCATCTCAAACATGGCAGCGCAGCTCCCGCAGCTCGACTCCCTTCGTTCGCAGTACAGAAAGTCGCTGCAGTCATTCAATGCTGGCCTGGATGACTTTCGGCTCCTGGACATCGTACCTCCTGAGGGCGAGCAGAACGCGCAGCCGGGCAGTCTCTATGTCCTGGATTCTTCGTTTAACCCTCCAACCATTGCGCATACCCAGATGGTGACCGCTGCAGTAAAGGCAGCAAACGCAAAAGGGTCCCCACCGTCAAGGCTGCTATTGCTATTAGCAATTCAAAACGCCGATAAGCAGCCAAAGCCGGCGTTATTCGAAGATCGTCTTGTCATGATGCGGCTAGCTGCCGAAGATGTCCAACAGGCTCTAGCCCAGGATACTAGCCGGGGCAAAGACGGGAGAATCTGTAACCTTGCGATTGATATCGGGGTTACGAAACGCCCATTCTTTGTGGATAAAGCAGTGGCCATTGCAGGCGACGGTAGTGTCTATCCAACGGAGGTAGAACAAGTCCATTTAACAGGTTATGATACACTAGTTCGAATTTTTGCACCGAAATACTACGCTGCCGGGGACCTTAGCGTTCTGAGCCCTTTCTTTAGCCTGCACAGGCTCCGGGTAACCATACGCCCTGGTGGCAGTTGGGGGGATAGAGAGGAGCAACTATCCTTCCTCAGTAACCTAGCCAAGGGTGCAACAGAGGACATAGGCGCAAAGAGAGAATGGGCAAGCCGTATCGAGCTCGTTGAGAGCAATGCAGTCGACAGTGAGCCGATAAGCTCAACTACAGCTCGAAATGCAGCCAAAGACGGTCTGGAGCTGCTCTCCAAGCTTGTCACGCCGCGAGTTCTTGAGTATATCATGAGCAAACACCTTTATGCCACTGACGATTAATTACCTGTAAACTCCGTATCTCATATGCCCATGAATCCCCACCGCATCTTACAAAGGAGGATGATATGTTATCCTACTATTACTTACATGCTAGCCAATTTTATAGTCACTCCAAACCAAAATAAATCTACTAGGGGTTTCGTTACTCTTCATCTTCTCGTGTCCCAAGAACATAAGCCATTCCTCCGCCAACCAGATTCGCCAGACCAACGCCAATAGCAGCACCTCTCACCATGCCTCGAGCACTCCATTTCTTCCTAAACTCTTGCTTCCTTCTCCCAGCAAGTAGGATATATAAACCGGACCACGCGGCGCTCGCACCGGCAGCATCCTTCTTGAATCCGGCCAAGTTCATGTAGGACGTGAGCAACAGCACCGGCGGAAATATCATTGGCACAAACTGGAACGGACGGAAATGGAGCGCGGTCACAAAAGTTGCGAGCAGTGTCGGCGGGAACGATGATTCTATTGGCAATTCAATTCATCAGCGTGTCAGTGAGCTGTTTCACAGTTCAGGCTCGCGGTTCAAGCTGTCTTGAACATGACAAGGTCTTCTCTAAGAGAATCGACTGGAACCAAGTACCTCCCCATGCTCGAGCATACTGTGCCAGTGTTGGCTTTGGCTTTCCAGATGTTGTTGAAGTCTCGAGGTCTTTAGCCATTTTGTATCACCGGCGATGTTTATAGTTGGAATGACGAGTATAGCAAGGGAACAGTGTTCACAGTTCGGGGCGCTTTTCACAGGCGTCAAACAAATAACAGCCTAGCTCTCGCGGGCCCCAATTGTTCTCGTCAAACGTGAATACGGCCTTGGTATCCTGGCGAGCTGTCTTGAATGTTGTCGGCGGCTTTGATGTCTTTAGAGAGAAATTTCTTGGGTTCGTTTTTTTGGCCGTGCAATATCACGTGATGTGTCTTGAACATCTTGCTGGCAAGAAACGAAATATATTATTATTCCTGAGAAAGTCATCGCCAGCACCGTCGGAGTCCTCGTCATTCGAAAAGGCCGATAACCTTGGGCAGATTCCCTGTACACACCTCTTACGCCCCTTAGGACTCGTTTTCGTGGGCTCCTTTATATAACTACGCTCTCCCACCCTTTTTTTTGGACGGCAACGCCCTTTGCATTGGAAGATTCGCCTGCCTACACAGGTTTTCGGTATCTAGCGTCGATATACCGGTTGATATACGTCTTGCCTCTTGCTTCACCATAATTATTGCAAGGAGCCTGAGATTATGCCCTCTGCGACCGCAACTGGTGCCGACAGGCCCAGTGGTGCCCATTCTCGCCAGCACAACCAGGGAAACCAAGATAGGAAATACACCCCAGAGCAAAAAGCGGCAGTACTAAGAGTGCGGAAATGCTCTGCTACAGCGTTTTATGAGATTCTCGCAGTCGAGAAAACCGCGACAGATGGAGAGATTAAGAAGGCTTATCGGAAGCTCAGCTTGTTGACCCACCCAGACAAGAACGGCTACGAGGGTGCAGACGAAGCATTCAAGAGTATGTACGCTCTCTATAGAATTTTTTTCTATTCAAAGGACATACTCTAATGAGGGGGGGAATAATGTGTAGTGGTATCGAGGGCATTCCAGATATTATCTGATGCAGACAAGAAAGCCAAATATGACAGATTTGGCGGAGACCCAGACAACAGATTCAACGCTGGAGCGTCGACATCTTCACCTTTCGGTGGCTTTGGAGGCTTCCAACCACATCCCGGACGGCAATATGCTTATGAGGAGGAGATTTCTCCGGAGGAACTCTTTAATAGATTCTTCGGCGGAGCTGCAGGCGGAGGATTCGGACCGTTCGGTATAGTTTCTCAAGCTTCTAATGGACACTTTGGCAATGTTCGAACTTTATCACTAACAAATACCGCAGGAGGTGGCATATTTGATGGTGGTCCCCAGTTTGTCTTTAGCATGGGAGGCGGCCCCGGTTTTCGTGTACATCAATTCGGAGGGAATCGACCACGAAGACGCCCGAGAGATACGAATGAGCCAGATCCCTCCCAGACGCCTCCAGGAGTTGCATCTCTCACACAATTTCTCCCTCTCCTCCTACTATTTATCCTACCCTTCCTGTCCAACCTGTTTAGCAGCACTTCGCCTTCAACGCCATCTTTCAAACTCCACACCCCAGATCCACCACATACGCTCCAACGAATGACCCCGAAACTCAAACTCAAATACTTCCTCAACCCAACAGATATTGAAGACTACAGCCCGCGCAAACTCCACCAGCTAGATCAGAGAATTGAGGTTGACTACGTAGCCAACCTACGCCGTGAGTGCCAGAGTGAGATAAATTACCGCGATCGCCTGGTTCAAGATGCTCAAGGGTGGTTTTTCCCAGACGTTGAGAAGATGAGAGAGGCACAAGATCTAGAGCTCAAGAGTTGTGCAAAACTAAAGGCACTCAGTAGCTGATACCCTTGCCCTCACCCTCAACAGTATAGCTGACTTTTTTTGATTCTTATAACTTTGATACGAATAGATAACTAATTATGTTTAAACGTACATCAGTTTTCTACTAATTCCTCCCATTAGGTTTCCGGAATCTACTCTTTGTTCCAACAGTTCTGCAATTTTTACATAGTTACTGCGTTTATTACTAACCAGGTAACCACCTACCTGCCTACATTTTTGGCAGATTGACTTCAATATGGCATGCACAACGTCTTACGCGAGGTTGACGGTGAACACTTAACTACTCGTGGAGTACCTAGGTACGGGCCTGGCCGAGGTACCTCGGTGGTGCGTAATGGGGTCGGAAGATGAATTGTTCCCCGCCAGCTGTGGAACCACGGAAATTTCACCATCTTACCAATTCAACTTCTAGCACGAAATGGACGATTACGTCGAGTTTTTCCCCTGGTTAGAAGGAGAAAGGATATTTTCTAGCCTAGGAAGAGCTGTTGTAAAGCGTCGTCGACAGGATGGAGAGGGCTTTGAAGTTGCAAAAGTTGGGGCTGTGAATGAAAACGAGATCGCGGTTCTTGACCATATCTCGAGATGTACCACGGTCAAAACGGCGAAACTGCGTGGAGTGAGCATAGTTCGCGAAAACTCGATAATGATTATGGATTTCCTCCCCGGAAAAAGGCTTGACTCCGTCTGGAAAAGCATGAATGGTGACGATAAAGAGTATCTGAAAACCCAGATCCAGGAACAAGTTGTCCTCCTGAGACAATGCTCAATCGACTATGTTGGTGGCATTTCCCATAACCGCTACGTCCGAGATCCCTATCGCCCATTCAAGGGGGAGTTTTGCGGGCCATTTCATACTGAAGCGGACTTTGACAAACACAAGGTCTCCCTGCTAGGTGCGCGGGATCCTGCGGCAGCAAAGGCCCTGGAGGAGAAACTTGACGCGCTTCGCAAGCCAGCATCTAAACCTCGCTTCGTACTCACTCATGGCGACCTCTGCCCACATAACATACTTGTCCAGAATGTTGGGGAAGGAAATGATACTGAATGGCGTATTACGGGAATCATCGATTGGGAAAGAAGCGGATTTTTTCCTGACTACATGGAGTATACAATCGCTATGACAAGTGAATTTCACGATCCAGAGTGGAAACAATTTTTGAATGAGGTCTTCAGCGGGATTGGATTACAATGTTCCCCCCAGAGAGTCGAGGCGGAGGCACTGGCTGTGGAACGGTTATTTGGGGAGGTTACTTACTTCGGGCACTAGGAATTGGCTTTTCCAGCAACTATGCACCTCATCATGTATGCATACACACATCATCTCATGTTGTAACAACTCTTCAAGCAATTCTCAATTGGGCGATGGCAGAATATAAAAAGAGTAGAAAGTGAGTCTACTTGGATTTTTGTATTGTCCCTGGGATTTCTAGATACAATAAATAGGTAGAAAGGGGAGAAAGGAAGAGAAAGGAAGACATGGGTAGTTATTGAGATGGGTAGTTATTGAGAGCCGTTACTGAATAATGCAGCTTGGAAAAGAAGTAGGATTGTATTCCGGCGGATCTGGTTCCCATAAATCATCCTCAAGGCCTGATCGTAAAGCCACAAGGTATATCTCTGCCATCTGACGCCCAAACCACTGCAGCAGGTCAAACCCAGGCTGAAACTCTCGTAGGTGCCGGCACGCATTGGAGCATTTCATGTCTTCTCGACTGTTCTCTTGACTAGCCAGGCGTAGGATATCTTCGAAGTCGTGACGGCTCATTCGTTTGGAAGTGACTAGCTCCTTTATCACAATACGCGGATTGTTCGTCCAGTCTAGGTCAATATCACGCATTTTGATGTCGCCATTCCTGGATATGTAGGCAATAATGGGTGGTGAGCTCGTCGACACGTCGTCAGGAGAATAGACGAAGCAAGTGTGATGGTAGACATGGCCAGGCGGAGGAGAAGGTGGCCTTCTGGTGGCTTCATGGACAATACTGGCCCATGCCATGGCTGTTGGCGTATGCTTTGAGGTGTTATTTTCTGATAACTAGTTGCAGAAGAGTATTGGGATAAGGGATATGAACTTGAAAAAGGAATGTAGTTGATCGCTGATAGATGACTAACATAGCATTAGAGGCTTGTCTTCCACTGGGAGTTTCCATCTCTTCGCAGGTTAAGTAATAACAAGTTAACGAGTTACTGGCCTAACTAGTTAGATTAAAGACATCTTGGCGTGACCTTGTTGGGGGCTGGCGCTTAAGCAACTGCGCTCATTCGCCAGCTGTTTTGGTCCACGACCTCCCGCCACAAACAATCCAAATGCACGGCCAATTCCAGGTGGGCAGCTTTAGAATGGAACCTAGGAACATCCGATCTCCTACGGCTGTGGTTACAGGTGACGGCGACAGGCAGTTGGAAAACCGCTTTCTCGGCAACCTCTAACCCTTTCAAGCTGTTATTAAAGGAACCTGCTGCATCTTCAATCCTCGATTAGGTCTTGATAATAACTACTCTTGACTTGGCGGTCACCCGTGTCGTTCGAAGTGGCACTTGCTCTCATAAATTCAATGCAAGATCGCATACCATGTACTCCGTACTCAGCCCCCAAAATTGCATGCTCATGCGTCAACAGACCATCATAACAGTGTGGATAAAAAAGGGGCACTAAAGTGGATGTATCCCAGTCAGATATCAATGATTTCGGCCCCAGCGAATTTTTTTAAGCAGACATCTACAGAGTGCTCCATTTTCCAACACAAGTTGATGCGAAGCCTGCAGTTATGGGAGAATCAGCGGCAAGTGAAACTTGATAGACACCATGCCGGCTCAGTGATTGTACCCTTCACTCAGAGCCAATCAATACCATACCCATGTTGTCTTGGTTGCCGGTGTACTCAAGTTATTGGTTATTATAATTATGTACTCCAATCCAAGGATATATTACCAGATTGTTAATACCGTATCTACAAAAACATGGCTCTCTTTAACTGTTAGAAACCGCCCCATGCATAAGCGCTGGGTTTCATTCGTTTTCTCTACCCCCTTCCCCTTTTGTGTCGTCTGGTTCTTTTTTTATATCAATTATGCATTGTTGAACTATTGACCCTTGCTTTAGTTCAAACGAGATGAAATATATAAAGGAGGAAGTAGCCCTATGTCCGATACCTCAGCACCCAAAGCACAGCATCCTCAGTCTTATACGGTATTACTTCTGGCTCTCTATAAGAATCTACCTTCTGCTTTCTACCTCATTGAAGTTGACAGTAAGGTACAATGAAGCTTTTCTTGTGAATAAACACTAAAATATATTGCAGACTCCCGTTCGTAATGTCTGCTCCTGACCAATCCTCAAACGCCCGACCCCTGTTCCTAGCCCGCTTTAGACAGTGTGGCTTCACCTGTCGCCATACTGAACATTGGGGGTTATTCCTTGCGAAGTCTTGGGATCAATGCGCGGAGGGTACCCTTTTCCATGTGGTGTATTCCGGAAATCCTACTGTCTCTGCGAGTGTCCATGCTGTCACTGGCTCGTATAGCCATGGCTATTTCAACGTTCCAAAGTTCCATCCGAACACCAGCGGCCAACTCACCGGTCTCAGCTCCATTATCACTGCGGCACAGGGTGGTATTTCAGCTTCCACTCTTCACCAAGTATCCCAGGCCATCGATGCGCAATTCCCTTACAATATTGCCAACAATAACTGTCAAAATTTTGTCATCCGCGTCCTACAGGAGCTCCATAAACAGGGTAAAGTCACCACAGAGGCCCTGAGCAGTGTGGCCGGCCGTGTTGGAGGAACTGTATTCACCCCTTCTGCAGGCAACTGGGCAACTGCATAATGGTGTTTTGGGATACGTACCGGATCAAGAATGTTGAAGTGGCGCAATTACTATTGAAGTAGATAGACATGTTACGTAGTTATTACTTCAGAAGTAATCTTCTTTTCGCTTTTCTCTCCTCACTGAGAGTAGTAACCTACCCTATATGGCATTAAAGGACTTGAACGTCGCTTATCCTCATGTTTATAGCAAATCCAACCTTTAGGGTAAGACTTGGTTATTGGCTAGGCGAATTTAGTTAAGTCATCTGGGGTGTTTATACAATCACTAGAGCACCAGACAAAAAGGCCTATCTGCCCCATGTTCTCTACAGGAACATGGACTAAGGCCGGAGTTTTAACAATAGATGGATGACCAGTTAATCCTGGCATTTTATCTGTTTATTTACTGATCTTCACGCTCATTGATATACACTTATTACATAGCTTTACTTTGTTATATCACTCTTAGGCATATTAATTAATCCTTTATCTTCATTCCTTGCCTGTATTTAACATATAGTTATAGTTAGTTAACTCTATACTTTACAACCAGCTCCGTAGCAAAAAGAAAATTCAAGTTTACTATATAGAAACAGTCTTTGAATAGACCAACCCTAGGTTCTGCAGTTTTATTCTCGGGGTTCCCTTCATATATTAGTGCTACAAGTTAAGTAACAGGTTGTCAAACTACTGGGCAAATAGGTGAGCCCGTGATCGATAGCGAACCTAGAAAGTACTCTAGAGTAAGTAGTTAGTTATGCTTCCTTATTACCTGAAGTTACTCCGTACCCTATTAATTATTAGTTAATGATGAGTTTCCATTGTAAACCCTCAACTTAACAACAAATCTCGTGAATACTGGGATGTCATCACGTCTATGTATGTATGGTCCCTTGAGCATGCGGGCCGTGGATGACGCTGATGATTTTATAGTCAGGCATATCTCTAAAGAAGAACTCCTCCCCTACACTAGCAATCGCTAAATGCATGTTCTCTGCTTCCAGGAAGGAACTTGGAATACTTGAAGAGTACATACAGTGATCAGGACAGTATTTACTATTTAGTTAGCGATTTGTATAGTTATCTTTCTAAGTTTGATAGTCTAGATTGCAGCCACTATTTAGTTGTGGCTATCTAGCTCCATAGTGGGCGTGGAGCTAGTTCTAATGGCGCTTTATTTAGAAGTGACACTTCGACGCTTGCACGGCACACAGTTACCCTCTGCAACGAGCTTCCTTGTAAACGCCGCTGCGCATCTAGTCAGGCTATCAAATCGCTGTTGTAGCGAACATGAAATTGGTGGTGGTGATGGTGGTGATGGCTGCCTGGTGGGCGGTGGGAGAGCCTGGGGCTTATCTAATCAGCAAATAACTAACCACTTAGTTATGACGCTGACAAAAAGAAAGACACAAGCTTCAAGTTCGAAAGAACATCTCCTTGATGCCAACCGTCGAGTTCACGCCTGAAGCGCCATAGAAGGAGATAGCTCTTGGACGAGAAAGAGGGAGATAAAGGCCGTCTAGCTTCCGGAATCAGCTGGAAGCTTGGAATATGGACAATATGGACGCCGACCAGGTAACTAACTAGTTGAAGCTCTCCCTACATCAATCACCCTCCAATACCCCCAGATTCCCAAATGCATAGTCACGGAGACATCTGCTCACTCATTGCCGTAGATCCGCAATAAGCGGCTGGCTAAGCTTGCTTCCCAAGCTACCAACTCTTCATCGTCACCAAACGAAGAATCTCAGCCTTCCTCGAATGCCGCCTCACCTGCACCAGCCCCTCAGCAGCAACTCCCGCAGCCAAGCTCTTCTGGCGGAACGAAGCCAGAGCCAGACTCTGATGCAAATACTCACACGGAAATGAAGCGTATCAGAATTACACAGGCAGGAAATCAAGGGTCGGCAGCCAAAGGCTTATCCAAGCCTCCAGAGACTATTGAAGAGTTCGAGAACCGGACAATATGCAACATATTTAGACTATCCCTGGATGAAAATAGGCGCACGGATATACATGGCCAGAAGTTGACGTACCTACGCGGAGTACGTCAGGATTTGGAAGAGGACAAGGCTCCTGTGCGAATGAGTGTCACCATTCTCGACCAAGCGTTGCTTGAAGCTGCTTCACAAACAGATAATCAAAAGCCTCTTTCATACTTACTGCCATGCTGGAAGAGGATATCCACCTTATTCAAGGGTTTTAGGAAGCCGGCAGTTGGTGATCCTAAATATGATATTATTCTAGAGGCTCGACGGTTATGCATGGGCTACTGTATATTTGCAGCGACAATGCCAGAGATGTTCGGGTATGTTTCCACTCCCAGCTGACCATAGTTCAAGTAATACTTGCTCTGACAAGTTGAACAGAGTCGAATCACCTCCGTCTGCTCCCCTGAAACCACATCTCTTATTGGATCCAGACGACGATCAAGGGCTCAACCAGGAATTTATTTTGGAGGCTCTCAAACGTGTAGAGGAAGATGACTCAATTCTTCCTGCTTTTGTCACAGCGGTTGAGGAAATGAGCCAGGATCTCTCAAGGATTACTCTAGACGATGATTATCATCCTTATATGATGGTGAGAATACTGCAAAACACACGGTTGTCAATATATTTATGTCTAATCTGTCATCCCGGCTCATAGGCCCTGAGAAATCTTGTGCGCTATCCGGCAATAGCTACCGCTATTACAGATTCTCCCAAGTTTAACCCAGCGACTTCGGCCCCTGACTTCGAGACCATGACTATTCTTGGCCCTTGGTTTGCCCTCTCTCCTCTCCATCCTAACGTCACCCTCAAATATTTCTCCAGCCCGAAGACTCGTGACCAACTCTTTATCTTAAATGCCCAGAGATCCATGAGGATGACCCAGCAACTGGTACAAAGTGAATTACTTGACATCATCAACCAGTTGATCCGGGCTTCGAAATCCGCACGAGAACACGTATTGGACTGGTTTGCGGCGTCCTTGAACTTGAATCACAAGCGCAGAGCTCTCAATGTAGACCCTAAACAGGTCTCTTCTGATGGGTTTATGTTCAATATAACCACCTGTCTAGACCAGCTCTGTGAACCATTTATGGATGCTACTTTCTCAAAGGTGAGATTTCTTAGGTTTACAGAATTTGGAGATTTGGAGATTTGCCTGCTAACCTTATCTAGATTGACAGAATAGAGCTGGAATATGTCCAACGGAAACCACGAGTCCAAATGAGGGACGAAACAAAAATCAATGCTGATCAAGAAACCTCGGACGCATTCTACGACAAGACCGTAGACGGCTCATCAAATTTCATTACCGAAATATTTTTCTTGACAGTCGCCGCTCACCATTATGGCAGTGAATCATTGACAACAAAACTTAACGATCTTCATAGACACATTCGAGATATGCAATCACAAATAGATCGGTTTGAGCTTGAGAGACCTCGATGGGCTTTTAACCCTGTCCAGCTTAGGATGTTCGAGGAAGCCCTCAAAAAGTACAAAGACCGGCTAGAGCTGGGTATGGCCCTTGAATATGCTCTCCAAGGTCTGCTTCTCGACGAACTTTGGCAGTCTAGGTCCATGCAATTCATGAGATATGTGATAGTCTGGTTACTACGCTTGATATCTAAGCGTGACTTTCCAAAAGAACAAGTTCAGCTCCCGCTACCAGAAGAACAATCAGAAGTGCTGAAGTTTCTGCCGGAGTATTTCCTTGACGACATAATCAGCAACTTCAGGTTCATACTGTTGAACATGCCCCAGGTTGTTACTTCAACCCAGGGAGATGAGTTGGTAATTCTCTGTATCACGCTTCTACAGAGTTCCAACTATATCAAAAATCCCTTCATGAAATCAGGTTTGGTGACTATCTTATACTATGGTACATTATCTCGACGAAGCGGGGGGAGAGGAATTCTCGTCGACATGTTCAACTCGATGCCATTCGCCCTGGGCCATCTACTCCACAGTTTGATGACATTTTATATTGAAGCGGAGTTCACTGGCACCCACACGCAGTTTAGTGATAAATTCAGCATCCGATATGAGATATTCCAGATTATCAAATGCATCTGGCCCAATCAGGTCTATCGAGACAAGCTCTCCGTCGAAGCGAAGAAGAACCTGGACTTTTTTGTTCAATTCGTGAATCTTCTCCTGAACGATGTAACTTATATCCTCGACCTATCATTCACGTCATTTATTAAGATCCATGACACTCAAGAGGAATTGAATCGAGAGGGAAGCTCGATGGAGGAGAGCGTTCGAAAAGAAAAGGAAGAGTTTCTGGATGGGGAGAAGCGTCGTGCAAAGTCAACTATGCAACTAACCAACGAAACGGTTGCGATGCTAAAGCTTTTTACCGAAGCGTTGGCTGATTCGTTTACCATGAAGGAGATTGTACAACGTCTGGCTGACATGATCAACTATAACCTTGATGCCATGGTTGGCCCGAAGAGCACAAACTTGCGTGTGGACAACCCTGCCGAATACGGATTTAATCCTCGTAATATGTTGAACGAAATCACAGACGTTTACCTGAATCTGATGGACAAGGAAAGCTTTATTCTGGCCGTTGCTCGGGACGGTCGCTCGTATAAACCGGCAAACTTTGAGAAGGCAGCCGAAATTCTTCGAAAGTTCGCCCTTAAATCCCCGGAAGATTTGGCTAAATGGGACAAGCTCCAGGCCGCCGTCAAGAAGGCAAAGGAGGAAGATGAACAGGCAGAAGAGGATCTAGGCGAGATTCCGGATGAGTACTTAGGTAAGTTTTCAAAATTTAGCATTAGGGGTCACAGCCTGTTTCCTAACTTCTACTAGATCCTCTTATGTATACGCTCATGGAGGATCCCGTTATTCTCCCAAGCTCCAAGGTATCAATAGATAGGTCAACTATCAGGTCCCATCTTCTAAGCGACCCCAACGATCCGTTCAACCGAGCTCCTCTGAAGATCGAGGAGGTTGTTCCTGGTAAGCCATGCTAATTTTTTGCTTTAGCTATTGGTCAAGGATGCCTACTGACCCGCCCGCCCTTTAGATATCAATCTCCGAGAAAAAATCGAAGCTTTCAAAGCGGAGAAACGGGCCGCGAGGTTGGCTGAAAAAGCAGCGGAAAACAGTGACAAGATGGAGACTGGTGCTGGTTAAACCTGCGCTGTAAAGTCGTTATAGAGGCAATTTATGGAATACTAACTATTTGGTTACGCTATCTAATTGTGTGGTTTTACTCTTAGTGTCCATACCAATGAAATCTTTCTTTGCCTATTGGCGTTTTCTCCTGCAGCGAGATCAACACCACCAGCACCTCATAGTCATCAAGGCGCCTACTGATATAAATAAGCTTGTAGTCAGGGGGTAACTAACAAGGGACCCGCACAAGCTCCAAACTTAATTGAGCCTAAATTAGTAACATCTGTCATCTCCCCCAACAACATCGCCAGTTTCAACCATCTCCAGCGCATTTGACCAGCACCCTTCGCGCGCCTCGAACACTCTTCCAAGATGGACGCGATAATGGAATCCGTTACTGAATGGGCTAAGTCCCTTCCGCCGCGTGCGGATTTTTTCCCTGTCACCCAGCCAGCGTACGCGGTGCTGATAACTGTCTTTCAATACTTCCTTATTGTGAGCATCGCATGCCTCCAAACGCTCAAATAACAACTGCGCATTCCTTAATACATTCTAACACGCAATATACTCATATCTAGGCGCCAATACTTCAACTGTTAACACCATACTACCCCCAAGGCAAGACCTCGATATCGAAATCCTACTTCAACCTGCCCGGTCGATACTCATGGTGCATAATGGAGAGCTTCGGAATGGCCAACTTCATCTATATAATCTCGACCTCTGAGCAAGGCAATGGTTTCTCTGGCTTATCAACATGGCATAAAGTGCTGGCCGTGCTATATGTCCTCCACTACGTCAACCGCGCATTGATCACGCCCCTCTTCCTGGCCCCAAGCATGTCACCAATCCACATTGAAATCTTCTTCTTCGCCATTTTATTCCACTACCTGGCCTCGAGCACCTTTGCGTCCTGGCTGCTCGGTTACAAGACCGTTTTGGCGACAGCAGGCACCCCCGAGGCCCCAGGAGCCATGTATGACACTACGATCGCCACTGCGCCAAAGTTAACGGGCTACATGGCTTATGTCCCTTACATCGGTCTTGCAATCTTCCTAGTCGGTATGTACGGCAACATTCAATCCGAGAATACATTATTCGAGTTGCGCAAGGAGGAGGCGCATCGACGACAAAAGAAGCAGGACAACAGCGCTGCTGTCAGGCCCGATGGTAAATCTATCTATGACAAAGTATATGTTCTGCCGCCAGCGGAGGGGTATTTCTCGTCGATCTTATTCCCTCATTACGCGCTGGAATGGATTGAATGGACTGGTTTCGTGATCATTGCACTCTCGGTCACTACACTTAACGTGGCGTCAGTTACGGCCGAATCTGCCGCTTCGACTGGTGTGGTGCAACTTGCGCCATTTTATGCGCCTGTTGCTAAATTCTTTATGAGTACTTGCGGTTTACCGCTTCCGTTCCCCGTCTTGTTGATATGCGTGAATATTATGACCACTACCGCGGTGCGTGCTCGCTGGGGAAGGACTTGGTATATTGAGCGTTTTGGCGAGAAGGCAGTTGGAGGCAGGGGAGCGTTCGTTCCTTATTGCAAATGGTTGTGATTAAGGGAAACTATACTAAGGGTAAATTCGGTCCCCGAATTTAGTGAGTGGGAAAACTACGAAATTTGTATAATTCTTATAAGGGGAAATGATAAAAGTTCTATTTTCCGTCATTCGATGTGCATGTTCCCTCCCTTTCTTGCCGGTGCAGAGCGAGGAGTATTTGAAGTTGTTGAAATATTGCTTTTCATTGATTCAATCGATAGGGGCCATCACGGGGCTCCCCAAGCTAACACGTAGTAGTGCGAGCAATCTTGTAGAGGCTCTCTATTAACATAACAGGGAAATATAAGAAAACAAATGAGACAAAGAAATCGTTAGAGGGAAATGAGCTAAGATCTCATGAACTAAACGCCGATGTTGAGATCGTGGGTATTTTTCAATTCAAAGAGAAAACCATTTCCATTCCACTACCAGCCTAACCCGAATATCCGCTATGCATGTTGAAACACTGTGCCTTTTTGATTATTTTGCGTTGAGTTATTTTTTTGCTTTCATTTTTTTTTTTTTTTTTATTGTTCTTCTGTACCATCTCGTTCGTTAAATCCCTTTAGAGAGGTTTACTTAGAGTATTTCTGGCGGAAGAACTTGGCGGCGTTGACCATGTTGACAAGGGCAGCCTTGGTCTCAGGCCACTTGCGGGTCTTCAGACCGCAGTCAGGATCGATCCAGAGTTGATCTGGTCGGAGATACTGAAGCATCTCTTCAATACGGGCCTTGATCTCCTCCTCACCAGGCACACGGGGGGAGTGGATGTCATAGACACCAGGGCCGATGTGGCGGGGGTAGGCCTCGTCAACGAAGACCTTGAGGAGCTTAGCATCACTCTTGCTGTTCTCGATACTGAGGACATCAGCGTCAAGGGCGGCAATGGCGTGGAAGAAGTCCTGGAATTCGGAGTAGCAGAAGTGGGAGTGGATCTGGGTGCCATCCGCAACGCCGGAGGTGGCGAGGCGGAAGGACTCAACTGCCCATTTGAGGTAGGCATCACGGGCAGCTCCAGCACGGAGAGGGAGACCCTCACGGAGAGCGGGCTCGTCGACCTGGATGACGAAGATACCAGCAGCCTCAAGATCAACAACCTCGTCACGGAGAGCAAGGGCGAGCTGCTGAGCTTGGACAGACTGGTGGACATCATCACGGGGGAATGACCATCGGAGACAGGTGATGGGTCCAGTAAGCATGCCCTTCATTGGCTTCTTGGAGATGGAAGCAGCATACTTGGACTCCTTGACGGTCATAGGAGCGGGGCGAGAGATGTCACCAACGATGATTGGTGGGCGGACACATCGAGAGCCATAACTCTGGACCCAAGCGTGGGTGGTGAAGACATAACCAGTCAAACGCTCACCGAAGTACTGGACCATGTCGTTACGCTCTGGCTCACCATGGACGAAGACATCCAAGTCGAGTTCCTCCTGGATCTTGACAACGTCCTGGATCTCCTTCTCGATGAACTTCTCGTACTCCTCAGCAGTAATCTCACCCTTGGTGAACTTGTTTCGTTGAACACGGATTTGAGAGGTCTGGGGGAAAGAGCCAATGGTAGTGGTTGGGAACATGGGGAGGTTGAGTTCCTTCTGCTGGACAGCAATACGGGCAGGGAATTCAGACTTGCGCTTGTGCATATCAGCAGTGACAGCAGCCTGTCTCTCCTTGACCTTGGGGTCGTTAGTGTGCTTGGAGGCGGCACGAGCCTGGATAGACTTGGCGTTGGCCTCGAGGGCCTCACGGACGGAAGCAGGGCCGTCAGTGACAGCCTTGGCGATGACAACCAGTTCACTGGCCTTCTCGACAGCGAAGCTGAACCAGTCGTGGACCTCAGCATCAAGGTTCTTCTCGCTCGCGAGAGTGTGGGGTGTGTGGAGCAGGGAACTGGAGGTAGCGACGATCACACGGTCCTTTCCGAGCTTCTGGATGGCGAGCTCAACGGTCTCGATGGCCCTCTTGAAGTTAGTCTTCCAGATGTTTCGGCCATCGACAACACCAGCAGAGAGGACTTGCTTGGGTCCAAGAGCACCGATTACAGTCTCGAGCTGCTCGGGGTTGCGGACGAGGTCGATGTGGATGGCGTGGAGGCTCTGGAGGTTGGCGAGAACATCAATGTTGTGGACAATGTCACCGAAGTAGGTGGTGAAGACAAGCTTGGGGGCCTTGTCACCGAGAGCACCGAGCGTCTCGTAGGTAGGCTTGAAGGCAGCCTTGACGGCGTCCCTGAGATCAAAGACCAAGACTGGCTCATCAATCTGGACAGACTCAGCACCAGCCTCCTTCAGCTGGGCCAAAAGGTCAACGTAGAGAGGAACGAGCTTCTCAATGAGAGAAATAGGGTCAACTTTCTGGCCACGATCAGCCTTGGCGAGAGCCAGGAAAGAGACGGGACCGAGGAGGACTGGGCGGGTGACAATGCCGGCCTCCTTGGCCTCCTTGAACTCGACAACGGGCTTGGGAGTAGCGGAGAGCTTGAAGACCTGGTTGTCTTGCAGGGTAGGCTTGACATAGTGGTAGTTTGAGTCGAACCATTTCACCATCTCCTGAAAATCATGTGTTAGCGAGGTACGACTCATTTCCACGCATGGATGAAAGGAGGTGATGTTGTGCGAATCAAAGCTGCACAGATGACACGTACAAGACTGGGAACATCGACAGCTGACTCCTTGTCCGTGGCGGGGGTCTGATGGCCACGGCCCATGGCGAAGTATTCGTCAATTGGGTCAAGACCATACTTGGAGTATCTCTCTGGGATAGCCTAGGTACGCATATTAGCCATTGACAGTTCTCTCTTCAGGCCAATTGGCGGGTCAACGTAGCATAGACATACTCCAAAGAGCTGAATGTGGTCCAGGACCTGGTCGTAGAAGGCAAAGTCGTTGCTGGGGATGAGGTCGACGCCAGCATCCTTCTGGATCTTCCAGTGCTCGAGACGCAGTCTCTTACCCTCGCTGAGAAGCTCATCGCGAGAGATCTTGCCGCCCCAGTACGCTTCAGTGGCCTTCTTGAGCTCTCTGAGGCGACCCATACGAGGGAAGCCGAGAATGGAGCTGAGCCCGCCAGGTCAGCGAACAGGTTTACCACGCAGAGCCCACGCGGGGCAGGGCAGCAGGACTTACGATTGAACCATTTTCAGGTGCGTTGTGTCTCTTCACGAGGGTATCTTCTATGTGATGACAGTCAATTGGGGGTGAAGAGAGCGAGCTGGCGACGGCGTGAGGTGGAAGAGGTGAGGTTGAAGAGGTTGAGAAGGTTGAGGGGAGTCGAGGAGGAGGAGAAGAAAAAGGGCGGCGGCGGCGGAGGATGGAGGATGCAGGATGGAGGGGCTAGTGACCGCCTTGCCCTTTGTGGAGGGGCAGAAAAAAGAGCGAGAAACTCCGATTCGGAGGGTTTTTTCGCTTTCTTTTTCGTGGTCACGCCATGATGACTAAGCAGGACGACCGACGACCGACGACCGACGACGACGAAGATCAAGATGAAGATGAAGATCAAGATGAAGACGACTGCGCAGATGGTCGAGATGGTCTAGATGGAAGGGTTCGGCCTCCGAAGACGGTGGACAGACAGACTGCGGCGGGCGAGTCGGTAGTTTCCTGCGAGCTGTGGTTGTCGGCGCGAGTAGAAGCATCTCCCTCCGATCCCGAGTGCTAGACTGACACATGAAGACAGACACCATGGTAGCCGACGGGGAGAAGAAGGTGCATGGAAACGCATAAAGGCCCATCAGGGGCCGTCGAGAGATGTTTTGACGATGTCGAGATGTCAGTGTCGCTGTCAGGGGACAGATATCAGGGTATCAATGGCGGTGGCTGGCGGCTGATGGCTGGTAGGTACCAGCGCTGTCAGGGCGCGCCGGCCCAGGACACCACACGCCTACAGACCATCATCCACGGGCGACAGCCAGCTATACCCATCCTTGCTCTGGATTATATGGACAGCAGGAGAGCGTCTGCCTGCTTTTAGCCGACAAGAAGGAAGTGGTTTCACCGCTGTGTCTCCCTCCTTCCATGTTTCTTCAGCTTCTTGCCCACTTTTCCTGGCTGTACCAGAGAAAGGTCCCCCCAGCCATGTCACCAGGAGCATCCTCGCTCCAGGGCCCCAGACGCATTCTGTGTACTCCCATGCACGGGTCGAACTCGAGCGTGTAGTCTCGCATCTATACGCGTTGTTTTTTCTTTCGTCCTTTTTTCCTTTTCGTACTTTGATCCGCGATTGAAGCTATCTTTTTTTTGTTTTAACCTCCCCGTTCTGTTTCTTCCTGCTCTCCATACCATACCTCGTCCACAGCTTCAGGATGGCCTCGATATTCTGCCCATGGCGAAGGAAGCCGAAGAGAGCGTCGCCTCGTGGCAGCTCTAACGATCATGCCGGATGCCCTCAGCCGCTGCCGCCTGCCTTCGAGCCCATAACATACACGCCCCTTGATTCCGCTGGGGAGGAGCAGCAGATGCTAGATGCCATATTTTCCTCTGCCAATGATCCTGTTCACGATAGTGAGTCTCGAGGCCTTCCACCACCGGGAACGGACTGTGCTCTCGCCCGTGCACATTCGAAGAATGGCAGAAGCCGACTCGGTTCCATTGGCGGAAGGCTTCACAAGAGGTTCTCACGGGACGGTCGATTACGGCTTCCAGATGCAAAGCTTGATGAAAGAGCTTCTATGTGTGATAGCGGACATGCCAGTATCGAGAACAAGCCATTGTTTGATATCCTTGATAGTGGAAATACAAGTGAGAATGCCTATGACAGTGATGCACACAGGCTGCTCACCCCTCAGATCACCGCACGGCTCAAATCCAGTCCTGGAAACCGATCGATCCTAGAAAAAGTTTGCCCAGTGTCTGCTCGGGATGTGCAAGGTCTGTCGAGGGAAAAATTCTGCCTTGGTCTCGACGGCGCTCCTGCTAGCAACAGAGGGAGCCAGGCAACCGAGCCGGTCAATTTACGGGAGGCATATCGCTCTGGTGAAGACGGTGTCGAACGACATTCCTCTGCTGGACATTCAGATTCAGCAAGAAAAAGTACATCCATCTACCTTGTTAGCCCTGACTCCGACGCGGGACCAATGACGCCTCTAAAGACCCACATAACAAGGGCCTCTTGTTCGATCATAGAAGATGATTACAGGAAAACACCAACGTTGACCCCAAGCGACCTTGGGAATTCAGATAACCCCGACAAGGAAATCAGTCCACTCTCTTTGGCAGACTCTCCCGAAAGCGTTCAGATCAATGTTACAGCGCGAAATAAGAGCACTTCACCAGATGTTTGCCAGTCCAACAGCCCCCAGGCCGATGACACGCAAATCAGAATAAATATTGGAACCTCAGTGTATTCGAGTCCGGCCTCGGAAACCCCAGGATATGAGCGAAAACTTGAAGAGTTTTCTGCCATCGAATCTCCAATACACCAAGTACAAAAGAGCTTAACCTCAAACAGAGTCTCACCAGAGAACGTGCCGAAACAGCGAGCACCAGCGAATACCCGCCGAGAGCCTTCAATTGCTACTCAAAGGGACAGTTGTAGCTTTGTTAGAAGGAGCCGCTTTATTGAAGACCTAGACGATGTGTTCACCCTGAAATTTGATGAAACTGAGCCTCCAAAGGAGGATTATCCGGAGACGGAACCTACGAGCCGGCGACTGAGCGATGGCTGGTTGTCTGGCGGGAAAAGATTGGGGTACGGCTACAATTTTGCCCTGGGTGAAAGGTACCCCCGACTCTCCTGCTCCGAAGGCGCCGCTGACGAGAAATATAACTCCGCCATTCGATTACAATCTTATACGGATTATAAAAATGGGGCTCCATCAGAATACAGGCTGCCAATTCAGGACTACAAACGTATCTCACGTCAATCCGACAGTCCAGATACTCATCAGCGCCCACGTACAGCTACTAGGGAGGGTAGTCATACTATCCGCCGAGTGTCCCCATTTCATCAAAGCGATATCGATCGCAGTGACCATTCAAGTAGGGTAACGAGTGCCATTGCATGTCTGACAAAGAAAGTCCGCAGGCACAAAAGAGACGTCAGTAGCTGTACTGCAGCGTCCAGCCGTTCCAACCAATCTCATGGATTAGAGCCGTTCCCATCCCTAGGCCCTGAAGCGGACCTAGAGATGCCTCTTGGTTTCGACCCAGCACGTCGTGATATTGGAAGTGGCGTATATAATCGCAACCCTCCCACTATTAAGCTTGTACAAGCACTTCGAGAACCATCGAACCCAATTAAGGAGAGTACTGAGATTTGCCCAATGGCATATGACGACATCTCAGACAGCGAAGATGAAAGTGAGGATATCCGGCCTGAGCCAATATCTGCTGAGGTATGGTCCAGGCTATACGATGATTGCCTCCAAAACAGTTAAAAGCCCACACTCTATTTTTTTCTTGTCGCTCATTCTCTTCCATTTCTTATTTTGTGTTTTTTCGTTGTCTTTTCTGGATACCCATGCTGGCAGGGGGAATAGTTGTTCTTCTCGCTTGATATTCTTCTCGTCAAGTTCCGTTAACTGTATAGATATCTCCGCATCTCTTAATAGAACCGGTCATGGCCCTTGCATTCGTTTCTGCTCTGGGAGAAAAGAGGGTCTTGACCGTTTGAGCTGGCTACATATTGTAATAAAGGGGGATAGGGTAATATATAATACAGAGCAAAGCCATTAATATCCCAAACGTGTCTGGTTCTATATTCATCGCTTTTGCTTCTTAGTACTTTTATCACTAACCACGCTGAGAACACTAGCACTTCGTTTGTGTGTACCTCCAGGCCCCTTAGCAGGTGAGCCAACTGCTGCATCCGCCTTAACAGAGGCAGCTTTCCCGGGCCCAGGAGATGCACTTTTAGCTTCAGCTTCGGTTTCTTCTTTGGTGCCTGAAATCCCATCCGGATCCGAAGTATTCGCCGTAGCCGTGGCACCCTCGACACCTTCGTTGCCCTCAGTAGAGGCACCAGCTTTCTCGTTCTCCTTCCTCTCTCTTTCCGCCTTACTGGCCTCCAGAACTCGGATTTCTCCCTCCACTTTCTCAGCGAACTTGCGCGTGTCAAGTAACAAGTTTACTTGGTGGATTAGTTTCTCAAACTCCTTGCATACCTTCTCTGTTGGCATAAAGAGGCGAGGGGGTATATCTAGCTCCGTCAGCGCAGCAGCAAGTTTCTGAGATTGGATATTAGACTTGGCCTGCGTGAGTTTCTGGGCTTTGTCGTTTCGAAATTGTACACCGGAAGTTAAGCGGTCGTGGTGTGATACACCGTACTTCACTTCTTCAGCCGGTGTGAGAGTCCGGATTGTAGGTTGGGCCGCCGCGTTGGCCGCGGCTCCCTTCTTGTTTGTCGGAGCAGCCGGCGTTGGAGCAGGGGTTTCCGGTCTGCTTTCTCTAGCTGACTGTCCGCCTGAAGGAGCGTTTCCTACCGGGCTTGACACACCGGTATCCGGGCCGAGAAGTGGGCGTCGCTTTTTGTTCCTATCTGCTTGTAAAAGAGACTGTAATAGTTGTGACAAGCCTTGGCTGGTTTGGTACATGGCGGTATTGCCGTTGCTGACTGGAGCCTCCAGCCGAGCATAGAGCTCCTTCCGCTCGTCTATAAACTGGTTCTCGTTCGCGACAATCCTCTTTAATTCCTCCAGCAATAGAGCTTCTTCGGTGACCTCTTCCTTCGACCTATTTAACTGAGTGTTGGCCAGCTCTTTTCTCGTCCTCTCTCGTTCGGGGTTGAATTTCATCATCTTTTCGTGTATGTCAAACTCCGCTTCTGACATTTCGGAAAGGGGGTGTTCAATTGCCAGCATGTGAGCAGCAACGTTATAATACCGCGACTTCATCTCTTCCATTGTTCGACGTTTAGTTGGCGCAACGAGGGCCGTTGAGGAGCTTCCATCTGCTGCCGTGTCGGTATTCGGGGAGTAGTCATATCGGTCTGCGATTACTATCCATCTGAGGTCAAACTCTTCGACGAGGTCCATAAGATAATCTGTTTCCTCGCGACTCCAAATATCGCTCTTCAAAAGTTTGTCATATTCCTCTGTCGTATATCTCCGGGGATGTTGAGCCTTGATATTATACTTGGCGAAGGCAGATGTTTCTTCAGTTTCTACAGAAGAAGCGCCTTCTCCTGCTTTATCTGTGGTGCCTCCTTGTCCAGTTTCAGCGTTTGGTGGTGGGTTTTTGGCTAGCGGTTTCCTTTGCCAGTGTTTAAGAACAAGGTCATCATTTCGAGCGGCATTCTTGAACGGAGTAATAACCCTGGAGAGACTACGATTAGCCATGGTATAACGGGCTCAATAGGGCGCATCGACAATCCACCTACCATGGTCTCACTTTGAGTTTGCTCATCCATTTCCGCCGTCCTTTATATTTGTTCTCGTTCAGTGCAATAGGAGGCGCGCGTTCCCCGAGCAAAGCGTAGAGCTCTCTTGTAATTCCCTCTATTTAAACAACCATTAGATCTGGATATAAGACAAATATAGTGGTCTATAAAATCTTACCGGGTCGCTTTTCGACGACTTTCTGCTTCTTTGCTGGCCTGGGTTGCCCGTCCGCAGGCAAATCCAGCATATCACGAACATCCGCGGCCGCCATGGCTGGCTCCCCTGTAGCTGCTTTCTACCTCGTCTTATTTCAGAAACGGTAAATACAGAATTTTCTCTCTCTCTTTTTCCAGTCAGGAAAACAGCTGGATATGAGGTCGTAAGGCGTCGGCGGCGGGAGTTTTGTTGGAGTCGTTGTTGGTTTGTTCTTGACCAGGTTGGCTGCTGGCGCGGCGAAAGTGGTTAATTTTTAGCTGGTCGCGAGGGCGCACGCTGATTGGCCGGCTCTGGGCCAGGTAAGCGTGTCTTCATCCTCGAGATGCAAAAACACCGTCAAATCTACCCGCAGCGGTTCGCATTCAGACAGCGAGTCGAGAGCAAGATCAGCTGGCTGCAGTGTTGCATTCGATCGTACCTCTTGCTAAGGAATATCCGGACAGGATGGCTTTGTCAAGGTCGCAGCCGTCGTGGCTGTCGACGTTCTTCTCCATAGCCACTCTCCTGATGCTCTCTGCTCCTGTTCACTCCCTATACTTCTACGTCCATGGACGACAGCCCAAGTGCTTCTACGAGGAATTGCCCAAGGACACTTTGGTAGTCGGTTAGTTGGAGCCTTTTACAGTCACTTTTGAGTACAGTGGTTTCTAACACTCAAGGAAAGGAAATTACCAGTCCGAAGTCTACAACCCTCATCTCAACGCCTATGCCCCTGACAGCAGTATAACCATCACTATCACTGTCGATGAAGTCTTCGATAACGACCACCGGGTCGTGTCTCAGAAGGGAGCTGATAAGGGACGGTACACCTTTTCCACCGCTGATGCGGGACAGCACAAGCTATGCTTCACCGCAGACTCGCATGCCAATAGCGGATGGCTTTCTGGAGCTTCTGGCCCGGTGAAGTTAACCCTTGACATGGCTATCGGCGAGTCCAACCACTTGGAGTCTGAAGACAAGAGCAAACTTGACGATCTGGTTGAGAGAGTTAGGAACTTGAACGGAAGACTCCAAGACATCCGCCGCGAGCAGGTCTTCCAGCGTGTAAGTCCATACGAACGAGACAGAAGTAGAAAATCAGAGGACATCTTGACTGACATGTATCTTCTTCGATGTCAACAGGAACGAGAAGCCCAATTCAGAGACCAGTCTGAAGCTACCAACTCTCGCGTCGTTCGATGGGCTCTGATTCAAACCGCCGTCCTCGGTGTAACGTGTGTCTGGCAATTCTCTCATCTACGAAGCTTCTTCATTAAGCAGAAGCTTACTTAAATGAAATGGGAACATATGGAGTCGACGGAGCATCATGCTAGGTTATGAAGTTATGGAGGATTTCTCTAAAATACAAGACCTTTTTTTCGATCCAAGCCTGATTATTTTTTTTTACCTTCCTGTTGAAATGAGGAAAGTGGACAAAATCAGCACTTAACGAAATGAAAGACGTTTCCTATCGTCCTCAATTGAGTTCCTGTCCCTTGTATTTCACCGTCTTGTTAGGCAGGCTTTGTGCTGCTGAGTTCTGCGCTATATATACAATTCCAAATTATCATGTACTCTGACACATCAAGTCACGTCAGGCACCCATGCAACTTCCATGCTGTCCATACATGTCCCTCGAGCTGAAGTCATCCCTTGTTGTTATGTACTCTGTAGCTCGTATTCGAACAAAGGGCCACCCAGGGCCTCGGCTGATAGTCAATATCGAAACCCAGGCTGTCCGTCCACCCCTCTATGGCCCATCTATCTCATTGACTCATACATACATACATACATACATATATATACATTAAAAGTTTCAATAGTCCGGTAACTGAGTCCTTACACGGTGCAATCCATCAACATGCCGTACAGTCTTAAGGGGCGTAATGTGCTGGTCACTGGTGGCTCTCGGTGAGCAACGCTTTCTCTCCTTCCCGACCCCACGTACATACATAACACAGAGTTAACCTCGCTGCTGCAGCGGCCTGGGAGCCATGGTTGCAGAGAAGTTTGCTGCCGAGGGCTCAAACGTGGCTATCAACTACTATTCAAGTGAGGCACAAGCAAAGGAGCTTGCTGCAAAGATAGAGGCGGACCACAAGGTTAAAGCCATCCCCATTCAAGGAGTAAGTAAAAGATGATTATAGTATACCAGTTTATGCATATATTCCACTAGGCAGAGCAGCCATTAATCGATTAATACGCAGGATGTGGCCCTCCGGGCGGATTGTGAGAATTTAGTTAAGAAAACCATTGAGCTCCTGGGAGGAATCGATGTTATCATCTCTAATGCTGTGAGACAACGAATTGTTATCCCCATTGTAATAGAATTCGCTTTTCTGATATCCAAGTCCTTAGGGATGGACTAAAATTTCTCGGTTTGGAGACTTGAACGCCCTAACGGATGATGAATGGGACAAGGTATGTATCCGGATGCGTGAAGAGATCGAAATACATAGGTTGCTGATATATGTGAAAAACCAGTGCTGGAACACCAACGTGAAAGCAAACTTGCATCTCTTCCGCGAAGCAGAGCCAACCTTCAACGCTAATCCAGAAGGAGGGGCATTTATTATCACGTCCTCCGTTGCCGTAAGTAGGGTCGGCCCAGTCATCCATAAACATGACTAACTCATAACTAGGGAGCCACCCCTGGTGGCAGTAGTATGGCTTACTCTGTTAGTAAGGCCGCAAGTATGTATATATGGACCGTTTCTATACATTATGCCGTGTTTACTAACAAGTATGCAGGTATCCATCTAATGAAGGGTCTGGCTTCGTCCCAGAGTTCGAAAATCCGTACAAACGCAGTGCTTCCAGGCCTACTGCTCACGGAATGGGTCAGTTCAAACACTTGATCTGCTTAGATCACAGAGCGCTGACGGATCTGAGCAGGGGCAAAGATTCCCTCCTGAAGTACAGAAGGGCTATGCCGAGAAGGCGGCCTTGAAGAGAGTGGTAAGGTCATAACCTCCCTCGCAAGATACTGGAGCTAAATAGCCAATCTTTTAGCCCGATATTGAGGATTGCGCGGATGTTTTCGTCTCCATTGCTAAGAACTATTCCATGACCGGACAAGAAATCCAACTTGGTAAGTTTCTAGAAGTATTTCCAGCCTTAAGGGAAAAGGCTAATAATCTTGGATATAGATTCTGGGTTCCATATAAGATAAAATCTGATGGATGCGGCTAGATGGATGCCAAGCGTGGAAAATGCTTGATCCAGCAACACGTTTTATAGAAGCGGACCGTGGAAATCGCTGTGCATTGAAGTCCTTGCTGCTACCGGGTCAACCAGTTTAGCCTTTAATGCAGCTCGGTATGCAGGAGCCATCCTGTCACCTTCAACTTTCATTTCTTCTATTTCAAGAAGTTTCCCATCACTTGTAAACACAAATAGCCGCCCTTCATCTCTCTTATTTGCCGGATCTTTGAAGGTAAACGGAACCCCAGGTTTAGTGAAAGGTATGCCATCAGTTCGCTGTGTACTATCAGCTAGCTTCATGTTCCCGAAAATGATCCTTTTCCGCTGCACTAGATGTTCTTCTCCCGGGATTGTAGGCGATGTCGCGGCGGTACTCCATAGAGCACCCAGCACAATCTGGTGACGCCGAATTGCATCCCAATTCCAGGAGTTCCAAGCAACATGGCGGTTCTCAGGTTTAATCTTATTAGCAGGCCTTAGTTCTCTTTCATCCGAAGTCGTTTGCTTGATTATTGGGTTTAACGGAGGAACAAATAGATGGTTCCTAATTCCGTTTATAAGCATTTCTGCTCCCCTGGTTGACGCTAACTTAAGCAGCCGGGGGAGATCGCAAGAGTCAGGGTCAGGTATTGGGAATCCCGGCGCAGGTGTCTGATCTAGGATTAAACCATGATCAAATTTAGCGGAGTCAAGTGTCTGCAAAGTGACCCCAGTGGTTTTGTCCCCCGCCAGTAAGGTGTGGTGAAGAGGAGCGGCTCCTCTAAAACTAATACATTGATTAGCTAGGAGCGTACAGAGATATGGAGATGCGCTTACTCTGGTAAGAGTGAAGGATGAACATTGAGTCCTCCATATTTCGCTCCTTTCAGTATTCTAGAAGGGATAAAGAGTCCAAACGAGACGGCTATTATTAGATTGATAGGTTCACCCTGTGGTTTTGGCGGCTGCGGTCGCAGATTAGAGTAGAACAGCCATAGAAGAGTTCATATGATCATACCTCCCATTTGGTAAATGTATCTAACTCGTGTATTGGGAGGGAAAGTTCGTTTGCGGCGGCTTTGATAGGCACTAGGAGGTACCACGACTCAATATTAGTATTTATATCATTTCTGTAAACATAGTAACATACCCTCGCGAATTGTTTTCATAGCACGGCCAACAGGCTTGCCGGGTCGACATACTACATCAATAGATGCAATTGTGTCTGGACTTTCTGCGCGTTCATTGTAGAGCGCTTTCAAAGATGCTATACTAAACTCATCGGAGCCGCAGAAAAGTATCCGAAGAGGATCGCAGGCCTTCGCCGAGGAGTAATGCCGGCATGAAAAGAAGTAATTGAACCTTAATGTGCGTAGAACGAGGCCCCTTGGCCTCACGGAGTATAGCATCTCCCCAATGACGGTGCCTGAGAATGAATGAATGAATGATGGGCCAACACTTCGTCGTTGAAGCTTGATAGCTAATAATAGTAGTTAGTTAGCTCGGCGCTGGGCACCTAGGTAGCGAAGATATCACGTGATAGTGTTTAAATGACATCAGAGCAGTTGATGGAAAGACGAGCAAGCTGCAAATATCAGAGAGAGGCTTCTCATTTCGAGTGCAACGAGGGCAGGTAGACCAGGGACAGAGTGATACCACCATGTGAAATGCCTCCGCTTGAACCACCATCTATAATACCAGCGCAGCTCTCGTTCCTGACCATATACAACCCGTCGCTCGGGACCACGGATGAGACCCTTCAGGACCAGATTGTGTTCTACTACTCAACTCCGAATCAAACAAAGCTACCAGGAGATGTGCCGGAAAGGGATACGGCGAGCACAGACTCCTCTAAGGAAGAGAATAAAAGACTACGCCATGTAGGGCTTGCGCAAGGCATGGTGAGCTTCGCCAAGTGCGTAACGAGAGATCATGAGAATTAAAGGCAGTCCAGGCTCGCTAACCAAATAATATGCAGAAACTTCTCAAGCGGAGAGCCCGTCGACTCAATAGAGACCGAAAACTCTCGAATTGTTTTGAAAGAGTTGGAGCCCGGTTGGTGGATTCTAGCGGTAAGAATATCTTTAAAATCAACCTCGATCTAGTCAATAGTCCTAATGCATCCAATAGAGTATTGACTTGACAAAAATAATACATGTCCAAAAAGGGTCGACAAGTTCCAGAGAAGAGACCTCAAATGATATCCAGGTTGAATACTCTTCGAGAGAACTATCATCTCCATATCTCCTTAGCCAACAACTCTCAAAGGCGTATTCCATATTTTTGCTACATCATGGCAGTTCTTTGGCAAGTCTTTACAAAACCATATCAAGGAAAACCTTCTGCATCTATCTTGACCGATATTGGACACGGTTTGTGTGGAGTTGGGATGTTTTGCTCAATGGCAACCCAGCAATAGATCTCTTTTCTGCCACCAAGCTAGCTGGAGGCGGAGAGCTTGGAATAGGAGTTGGTGAAGAGGAATGGGGGAGCGGTGAACGAGAGGTTCTAGAAGGGTTCATCTCGAGGACAGAAGGTTTGGTTGATATGGTAGTCTCAAGGTTTGGTGATGCCGAGAATCCCTTAAGAGAGGAGACACCTTCCAAAGAGGAGCCTACAAAGCCTTATAAACAAGAGTGGACTGGCCGTATGATGTTGCCTGGTCCGCAAGACGGTGTCATATTTTCTGGGATCGGGGCATTGTCACGGGAATCTTTAACACACGTTTCTCAGTGGATGGAATGGGTGTATAGATATGGTGAAGACGCTTATGGAGTACGTGGTGATCCTAAATCGACTCGCCGGCGGAAGAGAAAGCAAAAACGCAAAGAAAAGCAACCCAAGAACTCCCAGTTGGAAGCAAATACCAGCCCAGTTCCAGTGAAACCACATCATGAGCCATCGATCCAGCCTACCGAATTTTCTCCACGGATCCCTCCTCCCTTAGTTGTCACTTCGGCGAAACCCAAGGGCTCAGAAACTGGTTTTAAGTCCCCGAAAGCACCAAGCGACAAAGCTGCAGATTCGTCCACCTTTGGGACGGAAAACATTCTCAATATCATTACCTTAGGATATGGATCCGCATGGGGGGCCACTTCAGATAGCCCATCCTTGAACACTGGTACTAATTCCGACCAGCCACGAAGTACACCAAAAAATCTGTCATCTAATCCACATCAAAAACAATCCGGCCGGGCGGTGGAATCCACTGGTAGATTCCTAATAGGCCTCCGTGATGACCTTGAAAATGAAGAAAGTGACAGTGAAAATATAGAGGAGGAAAATTCGATAGTTGAATCTACTAAACAGCTTACATCCAGTAAGATTATTGTACGAAAGCTAGAGGTGATGGTGCAATCTTCGTCACTCCATGAAGGTATGAAGCGTTTCCATTACACAAGAAATATGTGATGACTAACAGTTTGCATAGACTCCTCCCCTACACTTGTTTCCAAGTCACTGCAAGTCGTCATATACCTGGTATAATCGGAACTGCCTCCAGAAAGGGAAAAATGTGTGTATGCTGACGATATTATTAGTACCAACCATTCATGTTCACCTTTTTGTTTGAGTGTGGCACAAAGGCCCTTTCATCCGCTAGCTTCTATCGAACTATCCACCATCAAATCGGGCCACTACAGAAACCCCTGCTTTCTTCTACGTCGCCTTCAAAAATAGTAGAGAGGCTCTCCCGCTACGACCTCCACCAGTTCGCCAGGGGTCAAGGTAAATCTTCCTCCGAAGAAACCCTTTACGATATCATCTATGAGCCGTTCCATCGGACCATCCGAACCTCACTACCAAACATCCCAGAACCGGAAATACCATCAGACCAGATTAGAGCGTATAACAACCCGAGGGATATCAGTCACTTACCTCCTTGGAGTCGTGCAGATGCCCTCAATGTGTACGCCCAGATAATCAATACCTACTTGGAGACCAAGCCCCAATCATCCGAGCTGGAAAGAATATGTAAAACGAACCGTGGTTGGTGGGTCCTTTGGATGCGTTTACCTACACCACCGGACCTCCGCAGCCCGCATGCGACCTCCAGCAACAGCGAGAAGAGCGGCTCGAGCGATGCACAATCGCAAGCTACAGCTGGAATCTCCTCGAAACATCTCGAAAGCCACATGTCAAGAGAAGGGCGTTGCGAGTCCACTGCTAATGTAGCGTTCCTTGTGAGAAAAGCAAGTGATTTCAAACAGTCGGGCAGAGGACACATCCGAAGCCAAAGCGGGCCGGGATTCTTTCGAAGTATTGGAGGTCGGTTCGGAAGAGAACTGGAAGGGTGGTCCGGGACGCCCGGAGGACTCGTCGAAGGAGTTGGGCTTGATGCAAAGAAGTATATTGATGCATTAATCAACCTAAACAGGTAGATGTCGGCCGTTGTTAGTCGTACATTGGTAAGCGTCAAACTTTTCAACCTAGTTGAGACTAGTTAGTCAAGGAAATCAATGAACCCAACAAATATATGGTGTTTAACGTGTAAATCGTTGCCTTCAAGAGCGGATCTTCCGAGCGAGTCCCCCTTGTCGAGGTCGTTGTCATTTATGCTGTACTACGTCCCAGGCTGCATTAGTTACCAAGCCAAAGTTCCCGAGAGATAACGAGGGCTGTCCCATGTATCTGCGGTTCAACTCCACAGCCATCCTTCCAAGTTCCCCCGCTGCTGATAAATAAATAGTAAGTTGCTCCCGGGCATCCCCGTGTCAAAGGATCTTTGAGATTTCATCCTGCAAGAACAAAATACAATAGTGTTAGTTAGTGGGTTATATCAGAACACTTTACACCAGCAAACATGGGTTCAGCAGAGTATCCAAGAATGGACTTCAAAGTAAGCAGATATTTGGCGGGATATTAGTTAACTATCTAGTGTCCTCTTGCTAATAGAATATGATAGGAATTTTATAACACGATCGACGGCAAACGTACTACTACTGCTGTAACTCGTCACGGCGTCAATCCAGCCAACAAGAAACCCTTAGCCGAAGTTCCTGTGTGTACCCAGGCCGATCTTGATCTTGCAGTCTCGGCTGCAAGGACTGCGTTCAGCAAATGGTCAAAAACCACCTTCGAAGAGCGTAGGGCAGCTCTTCATTGCTATGCAGATGGTCTCGATCACTACAAGGACGAATTCGCCGACCTCCTAGTGACAGAGCAAGGCAAGCCGTTAGAGCAGGCTCAGGCCGAGGCAGGGGCTGCAGTGGCATTCCTCAGGGGCATTTCCTCACTAAGTATGAATGAAGAGGTCCTCGAGGACACAGACAAGCATAAGATTATTAGCCGATATACCCCATTAGGTGTTGCTTGTGGTATCGTTCCATGGAACTACCCCATTCTCCTTGCCTGTGGGAAGATAGCAGCCGCTATCTATACCGGGAACGCTATTATTCTGAAGCCGTCTCCTTTTACTCCCTATTGTGGCCTAAAATTAGGCGAGCTCGGCATGCAGTACTTTCCTCCTGGCGTTTTGCAGGTTCTTAGTGGTGGAGATGATCTGGGTCCGATGATGACCGCCCACTCGGGGATTGACAAGATAAGCTTCACCGGCTCAATTGCGACGGGAAAGAAAGTTATGGAAAGCTGTGCAAAGTCGCTGAAAAGAGTGACGCTTGAACTAGGTGGAAACGATGCGGCTGTTGTGTGCGAAGATGTAGATCTCGAGGAGGTTATTCCAAAGGTTGGAGAGATTCGACTCCTTTTTCAAAAGTATGATAGTTTATTGCAGTTCGCATACTGACGAGTCTTGTAGATTGCCACGGCCTGCTTCTACTGCTCCAGCCAGATCTGCATGATGATAAAACGGCTATATGTTCACGAGAAGATATATGATCAGTTCCGTGATGCCTTGGTCAAATATACTGCAGCCCTAAAAGTGGGTGAAGGTCACAATCCAGATTCGTTTATCGGTCCGATCCAAAACAGTATGCAGTATGAGAGCGTCAAATCACTCATCGAGGCTATCAAAGCGGAAGGTGTAAGGCCTATTCTTGGAGGGGAAGTCGAGGAGTCAGAAGGATACTACATCAAGCCTACCATCATCGACAACCCGCCAGATACTTCCCGCGCAGTGACCGAGGAACCCTTTGGCCCAGTCCTTCCTCTCCTCAAATGGTCTGATGAAGATGAGGTTATTGCTCGTGCGAATGACTCTAACATGGGTCTTGGGGCATCCGTATGGAGCAAAGACCTTGTCCGCGCCGAGAGAATCCTCAGGCAGTTTGATTCTGGCGTTGCCTGGATTAATTGCCATTTCAATGCTTTGCCTCATATCCCCTTTGGGGGACATAAATGCAGCGGTATCGGAACTGAATTTGGCGTGGAAGGACTGAAGCAATATTGTAACCACCAAGCTCTTTGGCTGAGCAAGAGTTAATGGTATCTCAGTCCAGATTTGAAAGCATAGTCCGGGATGTGTATTATAGTACATCGTTTCTCTCGGTTCATAGTCTTTCAGTTAGGATATCCATCCTCACAACCAACAAGAATGATAATGGCTTCCTTCAGGGGTATAATAGCATCTCCGATCCAGATATCTCCTAGAGTTATGTCAAAATATTCATTATATTCATGGAACCGGGTTCGGTTGGGGAGAGGTCGACATAACGTCCCGACAAGTCAACCCCTGTGGTTTGGAGTCTAACCGTCTTCTACATATAGCTTCTATATGTAGTTAACCGCCTGTACCTGAATGTCTGAGCAAGGCTGCCACATGCTTTTAATGTCGATCACTCACGGTTAGACTTTGTCCTGTTCCTTGGTTAGTTACAACCACCGAAATAAACGGGAGTTTCCCGTCCAGTCTTGATAAATAAACAAACATGATATTCTCTCACCAAATACCAGAGAAACGAGGTTCCAGAGGTGAATTTTCACTGGATATCTGTGTGTTATGCGACGGGATGTTCAAATCTAGAGCCTCATAGTTGCCAGGGTGGAATGAGCTGAAGAAAGCTATCTCCACCAGCTAGGCGTTATACGAGGCCCGCTAACCACTCAGGGTGTGAGCAGCTGCAAAATATCCAGATCAGGAGGATACGACTCCACCATATTCCCTGCCCATGGGATGGAGGAAAGACGGCATGGGTGAATTCTCGGGTCGAGGAAGTCGCTGCACGGCATGGTCGTAGCCCCTTTAACAGGGCCCTCTCCCGGCAATTTGCTGTCTATACGAGAATTTTTATATCATCTCATCTGACGTGGTACACCACCTTTGAAGGAAACATTCACCGCTGAAAGGGCTTCGAATATCTTATCTAGAATCGTGTGCGCATTTCAACGCTCAGTTGTTTGGATATATCAAACAAAAGGCTTACGATGGAGTGAAAGTTGCGGCACGCTCGACCCACCCCGTCGTCGCAGACAGAATGCCCTCCCAAACGAAACAGTGGCCATCAATCCGGCTGGCCTTCATTATCATCGCCTTCCTACCAAGCCTCACACATGGCTGGACTTGGTGGTGGACTGATGACCGTGGTGACACCCATATAGACAATGGAACCAACGACCGAAAATGTACCAAGATGAACCTCCCGAAGGGAAAACAGTATCGATGGGATTCGGAGGGGAGCATGCATTGCATCTCTCTGTTCTCAGATGACCATTGCGGAGATCGTAACGGATGGTCCTGTCCTCCATGGGGACCTCGATACCAGGGACAAAATGTGTCTTTATCATATCTCGTCAACATGAACGGCGAGGAGATATCGTCAACACCTTCATCAGCTGAACCAACCCCCACCGAATCCTCTGCTAGTACCAGCAATACGTCTTCCCCTGAGAGTACCTCGCCCATGACATCCATTCCAACCTCACCATCAACCTCAACGAACACCCCAATACCACCACCAGCCGGTTCAGGAAAGCTTTCAGGCGGGGCCATCGCAGGAATCGTGGTTGGAGTAATCGGCCTCATTGCATTTGTAGCCTTCCTCTGCTTCATATCATATAGACTTGGACAACGAAATCCCATTGTTAAGGTATCGGTAGAGGAGCCCAAAGGCCAGTCTGGGGGATCAGGTTCACCTTCTGCTCATGAAATGCATTCTCCGACTCAACCATCGATGGCAGAATCTCAAACTATGTCCACAGCATCATCACCCCTATCGCCAAGATCGGAACTGGCGGATAGTGGGATGTTCACCAAACGGCAGATGCTGTCCATGCCTCAACGGCCTAGGGCGACTGAGTTGCCAGACAACGGACGGCAAGAGATTGCAGCATAATCTCGTGCTTGAGAAAGTTGTGGAATATGTGACTGCTAGAAGCACGGGTTGACTGCTTTTGACAACTTTTGACGAGGGAAATGCAGGAGACTATATGGATCAATGTTCAATTGACTCGAGCTGGAGTTATCTCACCTCAAACGAACATATAAAACTAATATGTCAATTAACGAATGTAAATATGCTATTATTTTTGGGAACTTATTCTCACATTACTGTGTTTAATGTTTGGCTTGCATTCTCCATGCCCTTCGTCTCTTTGTCAACGGTTGCAGTGAGTTGATAATCACATCATGCACTAAAGCTCACTCTGCCAAACCTCCCCATGATATGGAATGATCTGTTCGGCTGAACTCGAGACTAAATAGCCTTTGGCCTCTTCTTCAACTTGGGATATATCTGTAGACGAGTGCTGCCCAGGCATACTTGATCTCCAACCAGGTCCTCCTGTCCATCAGCGGCTCTCCAACACCCATGCAACCAGCCGATCTTAGCGACCATACTATACGTCCTCAAGCGACATTAGCAGAGAGAGTTGGCTGGAATTCCACACCAGCGTCAGTGGCAAGGATGAACAGGATTGTGATGTTATGCAATCCTTCAGAACGCATAGGTCGTTGATATTAAAAGCCAAAAATAGCCTTTTCAGGTGCTTGTGCTTTAAGCTTAACTTATGACATGTCGGTAGCTATAACAACATACCGGTATGGCAGAGGAACGGGCCATACGGAGGACCCAGAGGTAGCAGCATACAAGCCAACGGGTGTTTGATTATATGATTGACTAGAGTATTACGCCATGACGATAAACGAATGGGGGAAATGCCTGGATACGAAGTAGACGAAAGAAAGGAGAGGGCAAGGGTCTGACATAAGTCTTGACAGCAAGTAAGAATGCGATTTATCAGGTTCAAGCAGAGAATATATGCTGATTTGTGAACCAGTGTCCAGAAACAAGCTGTTAATATCGAACCAGGTGTTTTGTTACTGCGGGATAGAAGGACTTGAGGGGGAACGAAGTATGACGACAGGGAGTAACGAGAAGGAGGAGTGAGAAACAAGATATTGAGATATGGTTGGGCACATGGTCGCGGTATCTCCATAGTGTTTCTTCAAGTAATTTGTGTGTTGGTAGGTATAAAGGGTCGATTCTGGGTGGTTTTTCCATTTTCTTTCGCTCCAGAAGGGGCAGAATTGAGTGTGAACTAGCAAGCAACATGAGGGGATATAGGCAACTAGGTATAAAAAGACACATAAGTCCTCGTTTATCGCTGTCCTCTTTAATACTCCGTCCAAGGTAGAGGAGAAAAGCTGGGGGTGGTTTGATAGATGGCAGCTTGCTGGTTCCAGGCTCACAAATTAAAAGAAAACATAATTAAAGACAACAAAAGAGGAAAGAGGGAAAAAAAAAAAGAAAAGAAAAGGCAAGGAGAATAAAGGGGAAAATGAGATAGGAAAATAGTAAGAGGATTTCAAGGAAAGAGAGACGGAACTGTACTCGTGGTGTATGAGAGAGCAAAGCTGCATGATCGCCGAATGTTGTGCCTGGCAAAACAAAGACTACGCTCTCTCCCTTGACATGCTGCTTTCCGGATCCTCAGATGGGTGAGAACAACAAGGTGGGGGCAAATCCCGTATAACCAGACAGAAATCGCCATGAGACACATATTGCTTGTAGGGTACAGACCACCCTCAACCCACATCAACAAGGTAGAGGGTCAATAGTCAGGGACACATTGCGTTCACGCATTCTTGATCTCGTTTGTCAAAAGTCCTGTCCGCCTGGGCGACTGATGGAGGTGAAAAAACTGCACGCTTTGAAGAGAATCAACCGGGTAGATGGACAACTCCTTACAAAAGCCTACACTTGGACTTCTTGGTCTTCTCTTTGGATAGCAGGGCAGCACGGGTGGCTGACTCGAAAACTTCGCGGACACCCTCGTTTGTTCGGGCAGAGCACTCCAGGTACTTGTATGCGCCAATCTTCTTGCGGACCTCCTCACCCTATGACATTTGTTAGATAAATGTTGAAAGTGACGAATAGGGGGAGAGAAACTATCACATACCTGCTCAGGGGTTACAGGCTTCTGGGAGGTCTTGTGCAGTTCCTCTATGGTTCGTTGGTCATGTCGAAGATCCTTCTTGCATCCAACGAGAATGATAGGGTGGCCGGAGCAGAAGTGAAGGACCTCAGAGATCCACTGTTTGTATTTTTTCAACACCGTTAGCTATCTGATACGAACTGTTTTGCTCTGTTGTTTTATCAGCTAGCTGCAGCTTTCTTACCTTCTCTTGGACGTTGTCAAGGGAGTCTGGGGAATCGATGGCAAAGCAGATCAGAATGACGTGGGAGTCTGGGTATGAAAGTGGGCGAAGACGGTCATAATCTTCCTGGCCAGCAGTATCCCATAGGGCGAGCTCAACATGCTTTCCATCAACCTCGACATCGGCAACATAGTTCTCGAAGACAGTTGGGACGTAGACCTTTTGATGGAGAGAAGCAAGGTTAGTCAAGATATTGGATATGTTGTAATCACAGTCCGAAACGCTCGGTCGATGGATCGGCGGTAGCAGATATTGAGCAGAAACTAACCTCTGGGAAAGTGCCCTTCGAGAAAACGCTGCAGAACACAGATTAGCATGTATGTTCCAAGGTATATGGCGAGCAAACACGCTGCATAAACAAGGGAGGGACAGTGAGAGCAAGACAACGGTGTTTACTCACATCAACAAACAAGTCTTTCCGCAGGCACCATCGCCAACGATGACAAGCTTACGACGAATCTCGGCCATCTGTAGAGACAACAACCCAAGATGGGTTCTTCTTATCAGTTTTCTGGAGCAAGCTGAAAAATGATAACAGGCAGACAGGGCAAGGGATACGGCCAAGGAAACTCGACGGGGTCCACGACACGACGAGGGGACAGAACCGGAGGCTGGTGGCAAAGAGGGATGCTGGAGGAGGGGAAGAAATGTAGTGTACAGGAAGTTACATACAGTTATCTTCTTCTTCGTCTTTTTTTATATGTTTTCGGGTCAAGGAGCAGTGACTGGAAGAGCTGGCAACAAGGGGAGAGAGCAGGGAGAGCAAGGCGGAAAAAGGGATCGAGGCGAGCAGCAAGAGGACGGAAAACGAGCTGCGAGAGGGAGAGGTCTGTGAGGAGAGCCTTACTGGAGCTGCTTTCTGCTGCGTGCTGGGGCTGATCTGGGATGGGCTGTCGCTGTCTGAGATGGAGGTGATGGTTCGAAGGAGAAGAATGAAGAACTGGAGGTTGTTTTAACGGGAGGTTGAGCGTGCACACTTGTCGCTGGTTTTTGGCTCTAGCCCGCTTTGGGCTATTTTGCATCCTTTGGGCGATTTTAAGTGGGGCCCCAGCGCTATTGGCCAGCTTAGTCAGGCCTTGCGCACACGCACCGCGCGGCCTACGTCCACCCGCGCGCGTTCAGTAGCGCAGGCTGGTGCGTGGAGATAACGCGGGCTCGATTACGTCGTCGTGCGTGGCTGCAGGCCGCCTCAGCCTTACCTTGAGCTGCTTATGTAATACGTGACTTTGGCATGTATTCAAGTATATTAATTTTATATTCACTCTGCACTGCTTTGCCGCTTGCTGCGTGCTTGCCTGTCGACGGAGCAGCAGTGGTCGTCGCTAACCGCAGCATACTTACTTACGTCGTAGCCGTGGCTAGGGCGGGATATTTTCTGGTAAGATTAAGAGCGATACTATAGCAATAGCCAGATGTCGCCGATATCACAACACACACCTCCGTGCCAGCTGTATGAGATAAGAGCTGAGGGTCACGCCATCCATCGGCTAGCCTCAATCACTTGTTGGCCTCGCATCTCACAGGGATAGGCGCCCTCCAACCAGTTGGCTGCCGTGAGACAGCTGCGGGAGGAAGGACTGCCTTGCTGCGACCTGGTTGGAAAGTAAAAGCTGCGCCGGGACCTTTTTTTTTCCCTTTTAGGGGGGTGGAGGTAGGTGAGAGAACACTCCAGTTGAGGCTGTAAACCATTTGAGACAAGCGATCGAGAAAACATTCGCAAGAGTCACATGTGTAAAGAGGACAAGAAAGCCGGAGTAACCCGCCCAGCCTAGCGAGGTTCACTCTCTAGCTCAAGTATGTAAGTGAGTTTCTAGTTAGCTCATTTCGTTAGCTCCATTTTCTCCAGGAAGCTTACCACCACTCACGACGCAGGAGTCCCATCCCAACCTGTCAAAATCTCACTTCTTCTCCTGTCAGCCAGGGCAATGCCAGCTAAGCAGCCACACTAAAAGGATAATTGACAACCCGGTTGGTGGCGGTGCCTCGGGCAATTGTGGCTTGTGGTGAGAAACCTCCACACTCTACCCCTTATCTGAACAGCCGGAGCCAATCATTCACTATTCTTTCAGAGTCACTGTTTGAGGTTGCCCATTATTTTATTGGATCCTTGTTGGGACGTTGAGGCTTGGACCGAGCCTGACTTTCGTTCCTTTTTCCCCGTCTCCTATTGCAACAATTCACCTCTCCTAATGCGACGGGTTTCATACTTTCAACGATCGAAAGGGGTCTGTCCACTCTTCGGCTCTCGACTATATTTTAATTTTATTCATGTCAATTGCAGGGATTCGAGCAGCGCACCGCCACACAGCCACAGAGGTGAAATTATCATCATTCTCAGACTTCTTTGTCGTTCAATAGCGTCTTGACTGACGCGGCCTGCCAGAAGACGGGAGAGCAAGAACCCCCATCCGTCTGCAAGGAGATTGGATATTAGTTTTCCATAGCTAGGACGGAGTGTAGCGTAGTTACATGGAGTAACCAATCTTACGCTGATTTCATAGTTAGCTTCTGAGCGAGGACGCGACAAGGGATTTGCGTGTGCATCAACATGAGAAATCGGCTGGTGTATAGCGAATTGGGCTCTATGTCATAAACATCACATCCCCAGCCACGCATTAGTCCCTTCCCAACGACTATCTAGGCCATTATCCATCCAGCGTTGATATGGACGTTGTCTTCCCAAGATCCAAATGGTCGTCGTCAATTGCTTCTTTGGGAAGAAGCTCGCGCCAAGAGATATCGTGCTTATCTAATCAGGTCAAAAATTGTGAGCATTTGGAGAAAACTGGACTCTGGCTGCGATGGTTTTTATGTCGATGAACGACGCATTGCGGCCACCAGACACCAATGGAGAAAGTACTACGGCGAGCTGCTCTTGCGAGCAACCAGGCTAAACGCAAGGCAAAAGCAGTCCTTGAAAAAGACCGCCGCAACAAGCTTCAGGGAGACCTGAAGGAGAAATTTGCGTATAACCGGAGTCTACTGGATGAAGCAATTGAGGAGCGAAAGAATCGTCGAGAGGACTGGTTGAAGGGACCATTGGCTCCTCGAAGGAATTTTGGCGATCGCGATGTGCTCTACGGAACAGTTACAACCAACCGTCTACGGATGCCCAAGGTCCCCGAGGCAAAGAGGGTTAAATATGTGACCTTTGCTCCTGGTGACCGTGTGTGCATGGTCAGAGGAAGGGACAAGGGAAAGATTGGCAAGGTTCTTCAGGTGGATGAAGAATCGCAAAGTGTTACTGTTGAAGGAGTAAATCTGGTAATTCTGTCCTGCGGACGCCTGGCCTTCTTTTGACCTAGTTGCTAATTATCTACTTTGCCCAGTTCGACGTGGAATTCCCTGCATTTGCGTTAGCAGGAGACAGCGATAAGCGTCCATACCGCTCGTATCCCGTTCCAAACTCATTTGATGATGTCCGGCTTGTTGTCCCTCTCCAGGACCCTGCTACCAACACGGTAAAGGATGTTGTTGTCAAGCATGCCTACGGAGCTGGCCCTTTCCTAGACCGCCCGTACGGCTCAACCACTCCACGACACACACGATACATATCGGGACTAGACATTGAGATACCCTGGCCCGAAACGGAAGAGCCAGACTTTCAAGATCATCCAGTTGATACACTCCAGATCGAAGTAGAAAACAAGTCGTACCTCCCATCGCTGCAGACCTACCCAATGCCCAGCACAGTTATAGACGAGCTGAGAAACAAATACTCGAAGTTCCGTACCCGACATGATCCAGAATACATTGCGAAAAAGGAGGAAGAAGCTGCATTCGAACAGTGGTCGAAGCAGAGGACGCTCGTGACTCCACAAACCGAGTATTTGACCAAGGTGGCTGAGGAGAAGAGGCTGCAGAGGGAGCAGGAAAAGGACGAGAATGGCAACTTCAAGCTATCTGGTGAGACTACCCATTTTATCGAGAGTTTCATGGCAAGGAAGCTGCAGCAACGACAACAGCAGCAGCATCAGGGATAACGCAGGACAAATATCGCATAATCCTCCCTGCAAGTTGCCAGTCTTTCCAAAGCTTGGATATGGGGCTCATTGGGACTGTATATTTATCAAGCTGTATTAGAATCTTTTTACGTGTACGATATTTCTTGAAATAGCGCTTCCATTCTATTGTCATTTCTGCTGGCCAAAAGTCTTCCTATGCGACAGGGTTTAAAGTGCCTTCTGGTAATTTACAATAACATGGTCATTCCCTCCCTATACACAGTACCTTTTGTAGCATAATGGTAAGTACCATTCACTTCAAAGGTTGTTAAAAATAGCCCTTAATGTACGGGTTGTTTGTCTGCGCGTAGACCGCGAAAACCTTTAACCAACTTCTTAAGCTTCCAACCTGCTTCAACTTTGAAATCAGCCACTACAACACCAGGGGCTACCTTGATATCTACCAGCAACATGGGGTTCATCACAGTGAATGAAGCCGCTATAGACAAGGCATTCAAGGCGAATCCCGCCCTGCAAGGACGCATTCTCGAAGCTATCTGTGAGTGTTGAGCTTTTTCATTTCCACGACGCGCGGGGAGTGGCCAAAACTGCTTTGGCAAACGCGAAAAAACGAACAAAGATCTCTTCTCTATCAAATTGTGAGATGATAAAAGAGTATATCATGCGCTTGAATATCTGGCTGACTGTGTTGTCTCTTCCAAAATTCAGCTGAGTATCCCCAATGCGTCGGTCTGTTCGAAGACATCGCACGGTTCATTTGCTCTGAACGGGAAGCCCACCAGAGCCAGCTTCACAGCGCTTACAGCATAGCACCTGCTACGGAGAGCCTGCAACAACAACATATCACGCCAGTTGAAGGACCTGCCGCTAAGAAAAGGAAAGTGGCTAATGGATTCGCTGGGTCTGCTGCGCCTGGGGCGATGGGAGGAGAAGACTCTGCGTTGATTGCTGGCATACAAGGGGATGCCGACTTGCAGTTATACGTGCAAGACCTCTCTTTTACCATCCCTCAAAGAAAGAAGCTCAGACTGGAGTTTACGCAGGACCTGGGAGGTGGGAATGAATATATTAGAGCTAGGAATCAGGCTTCTGGTGAGGTTGAATTCGGCGTTCCTGTTGGCAAAATCGGTAAGAGCTGCCTCACTTTAACCCCGGAATTTCTCTAGAACGATGCTCATTACTTTTCGGGATGTAGAACATGTCCTTTGCCTCCCAGTCCCGGAAAAGGCTCAGCGCCAGTTTAATTTCTGCATTATACCAGAGTACAAGGATGGAATCACCAATGCTCCGGATGGAGTGATTACGTTTGAACCTATAGTTTGGACGGTGCCTGATGCACCTCCTCGAAGTGCATATTTGGGGTCAGGAACCCCAGTTTCCGAGAGTGCGAGCTTAGCGGAGACATATCAGACATACTTCCAGAGTTTCCTAGACGGAAAATTGAAGCATGTCAAAGTATTATGTCCTGACGAGAAAGAGTTCGTGAGCGCCACCCCCGAAGCTCACCGAAAGTCCGAGAAGGCATATCACGTCAAGGCCTTCCGAGGCAGTAAAGAAGGTATACAATTCCATTGTATCAGCTATCCCTATCGTTTGACATTTCTAACTGGTTTCGTCTGATCTGAACAGGGTACCTCTTCTTCCTGGCTAGCGGGATCTTCTTTGGTTTCAAGAAGCCTGTTTTGTTTATTGCATTTGAAAATGTGGAGTCTATTTCATATACAGCTGTGCTTCAGCGGACATTCAACCTGAACATAACAACACGCTCGGCCGCGAAGCCAGACGAAATGCAGGAGCTGGAGTTCTCAATGATTGACCAGGCGGACTATCCGGGGATTGATGCATATATCAAGAAACATGGCTTACAGGATGCCAGTCTAGCTGAGGAGCGCCGTGCAAAGAGGCTTAATATTAATGCACCAAGGGGCGGAGATGGGGCTGACGATGGAAGTGGAATGAATGACGGGAGCGTTCCGCAAGCAGAGGAAGAAGAGTCCGAGCTGCAGAAGGCCCAGAGGGAACTCGAGAACCAACAAGCAGACGAAGAAGATGAAGAGGAGGATGACTACGACCCCGGAAGTGAAGGGGAGAGTGAAGGCAGTGGTTCGAGTAGTGAGGAGGAGGGAGACGACAATGCACAAGGTGCGTGATCTTGGTATCCGTCATAAAAGGGGGAGAAGGTTGACGTTTGGAATTGGTCTGATACCGGCGTTATTCGACATTTTGGATATTCCCGTGCTGGAACATGAGGGAGCTGAACACTGGACGCTGTGTATTATCTACTTGTCTACTTGGTCACCCGTTTTCTCTTATTATTATTACCATTTGTGTTGAACCATTTTATCATCTATCAGTTTATCAACGAGGTCGTTTCTCATACACTCGTTCCGTTACGCCCACAAGGGTCAATGGCGGATCGACAGGCCAGAGCACGTCTTCCTCGAACACGACACATTAGCATAGTAAATATAAATATGCAGCAACATCGGTCTATAGAATGCTATCCTCTGTCGACTGGAGATGTTTATCATTCCAATATTGTATTTTGATCGTAGTAAATAACGCACCACGGCTCAAGGACAGATCAGAGTCCGCAACTTGAGATAACCATATTTTCTCTATAAAAATAGCCCTTCCTATCGACACTGAACTTGACTAAACTGGCCCTAGGCTCTCACAGGCTCGTAATCCAACCCCTACTACCCCCAGTGACATGGAGCAACCCATCCAGAATGATAACTTAGGCGCCAACCCCGTTGCGTAAAAATGAATAAACACTTCGCTTGGCGCTTAAGTTTCGGGGCGTTCTGGCGCAGAGCCCGTCACAGCCCCTGCATGCACTGCTGTATCAGGGCCAGGATGGAGGAACTGCTGCTGGCCCTTCTCGTCGGCCAACCGTCGTCCGCAGCAGCAGCTACAATATCGTCCTGACCTCTTGGCTTCTTCTTCTCCTTCTTCTTCTCCTTCTCCCGTCCTCCTCTGCGGCTTCATCTGCGTCCTCGTCCTCGTCCTCGTTGTCCTCGTCGCGTGTCAAAAGCGAATAATAAAATAAGAAGAAGAAGAAGAAGAAAAAGGAGACCAAGGTCAGTTTCCGGTTTGGACAGGTCCCGTGACCTGGTCACCCGCCTGACCAATAAGCAGGCGAATAGATTACCAAGAGGCGTAGGGTACAGCAGCGTTACCGCGATACCGAGGACTGCCAGGGCCGCCGCGCGCGCACGCAGGGGAGGCTGCCAGCCGTCCTGCGGTAATACCGATACGGCCGCTGGGCTGCTCCCCGGCTCGAGACGAGCAAAGCAAAAGCGACGAAAGCCTTTGCTGGGCTCGCCGTCGCTCCTCGCCGTCGCTCGCCTGCGTCTCTTCTTCTTCCTCCTCTTCCTCTTCCTCGCTCTGCCAACTCCCCCCAAAAACCCTCATGCTCAGCACCCGACCTGAGTGACGCTGACGCTGACGCTGAAGCCGGTCGTGGATGGTCCCCCGTCTCGCCTGCTCTCGCTCCTCCTCCTCTCCCTCTCTCGCTGCGTCGCTGGCCTTGCTCTTTGTCTGCTTGGCTGCGTCTCGCTCCCTGACCGACCTCCCCTCGTCCGTTGCTGGCTGCTCCCTCAGCGCTCAGCACAGAGAACAGGGCACTGCAAGGCCGTAGCCCTCAGTCTCTGCCCTCTGGCACCAGCCTGCGGTCGCTGCCGTCGCCGGTTCCTGGCTCTCGAGGGTGGTTGCTCTGCACCGAGCTGTCTCGGTTTCTTCTCCCTTTGAACGAACGCCCTTTGTGCCCCCTAATAAACTACACCCGGCCTGTTTGAACCTCACCCACCTCGTTCTGCTCCTAGATAGCGACACATATACCCGGTAGACTGCTCTTTAAAGAAGGAAAAGAAAAAGAATACACACAGAGATAGACTCGTCGGTTTTACTGCGTTGCCTGCCATGTCGTCGAGTTCGTCAAACGTTGTCGGTGTGCATTACCGGGTCGGGAAGAAGATCGGTGAAGGCTCCTTTGGCGTCATCTTCGAAGGCACAAACCTCCTCAACAACCAGCAGGTCGCCATCAAGTTTGTACGTCGTTCTCTTTCTTACTCTTACTACTACCCTCCTCTCCTTTTTTAAAAAAGAGAGAGAGAGAGACTCCTTTGTTTTTGGACCCCCTATGTCGGGCTCTTGACTGTCGGAAATGGAAATCTCTTACTCTTGCCACTTGTATAGGAACCCCGGAAGAGTGATGCCCCACAGCTTAGAGATGAGTACCGGACATACAAGATACTCGTTGGGTGCCGTAAGTCGTTGACCCTGCTTTTGTTGTCATGTGCAAATGCGATATAGTCTTGCTGACAGCCTTGTTTGTGGGTGTGTGTAGCCGGTATCCCCAATGTCTACTACTTTGGCCAGGAAGGTCTACACAACATCCTTGTCATTGACCTGCTTGGACCCAGTTTGGAAGACCTCTTCGATCACTGTAACCGCAGATTCTCCATAAAGACAGTCGTCATGGTTGCAAAGCAGATGGTATGTTGTCACCAATGTCTGTATTCAACGTAACGCAAACTAACTTGCATCTTCCAGCTGTCGCGAGTACAAACTATACATGAGAAAAACCTCATCTACCGTGATATCAAACCTGACAACTTTCTAATTGGCCGGCCGAACTCAAAGGCCAGCAATGTCATACATGTCGTTGACTTCGGCATGGCTAAACAGTACCGAGATCCCAAGACCAAACAGCACATCCCCTACCGAGAGAGAAAATCCCTATCAGGTACTGCTCGGTACATGAGTATCAACACCCACTTGGGCAGAGAGCAGTCGCGTCGTGACGATCTCGAAGCCCTCGGCCATGTGTTCATGTATTTCCTACGTGGTGGTCTACCATGGCAGGGACTCAAGGCTGCTACTAACAAGCAGAAGTACGAAAAGATCGGAGAGAAGAAACAGACCACTGTCATCAAGGATCTTTGCGAAGGCTTCCCTGGTACGTTATCCATTTACGTCTGGAGTAGTAGCCCTCCCCAGCTAACCAAACGTCGACAGAGGAGTTCACCAAATACCTCACGTACGTCCGAAACCTCGGGTTCGAAGACACACCCGATTACGATTATCTGCGTGACCTTTTCACCCAGGCTCTCAAGAATACGGGAGATGTAGAGGATGGAGAGTACGACTGGATGAAGCTTAATGGAGGCAAGGGTTGGGAGGCGGCAAAGCCATACTCATCTCACCACCACCTGCACGGCGCCAATGCTCTGCCTAACAGCTCTGCCCGTGACCTCCATGGTTCTGCAGCCCCCCGAGCATCCCATCGGCCTGGTGTCACCGCTGACCGTTTAAACGCCGCGCAGCCCCCGCCCCCTTCTCCTGCAAAAGCCGGAGTTGGGAAAGCGCGAGAGCGGCCAAACGCCTCAGGCGTGCCGCAAGTCAAACGTCAAAACGGAGTGGCGGGGGGACTCGAGGCTACGACGCCTACAGCTTCGACACAAGCTCAATTCCAAAACTCTAACGTACATCTTCCCGGAAATCGAGTCAACACCCCAGGGAACCAGGCCATGACGAGTCAGGCACAACAACCGCGAAGGGCTCCAGAACCAGAGCCTACGTTCATGCAGAAGATAATGAAGGCGTTGTGTTGTGGTAGGTTTCGAGTCCAGAATGACTCGTAACGTTTCGTGTTAGCTAAGATGATGCGCTTGTCAAGGTTGATCGCGGGGATGCATTCTCTCATGCACCACTCAGCCCCTCTATATTTCCTTCAACCTCTCTGACCTCTTTTTTTTGGACCGATACGAACGACCTGGTCTTTACTTCTCTCTGCCATTCTCAGTCCAGGGAAAGTTCTCGTTACAACTAACCATTGGTATCTCGGGCCCTCTTCTCCACTCCAAATCCGTTTTATACCGGGTACAGATGATTCCTTTGCTGCTGCGATGCTCGCCTTCCGATCGTTACTTGTTCCTGCCATGGCGCCTGCGCTCTTTTACCACTCGACAACTATTTCTACTTTATATGCCGTCCCTCCGTGTCCCGCCTGTCTCTCTCTCTCTCACATACACATTGCTCCTGTTGAACCGCCGTTTTGAACACTTTAGACCCACAGGACCTTCTCTCTCGTTTTGCCATACCCCCATATACCCAGGCCTTACTTCACGGATATCTTACAGGAACAAATCAAAGCAAGACAAAAATGTACTCTCTCCCGTTAAACAGCTGGTTTAGAACGGACCATTTTTAAACTCAGCCGAAGATATCAAAAAGTCCCAGAGGGAAAGATCACCAAAAAAAAAGGACATTTTTTCCTATCGTTATATTTTTTTCATGGGTCACGACATACATTTGAGAATCTTTTTAATCTAACGGCAAGATTAAAAAAGTGCTTGTTTCCTTCATATTTTCTTTGCTCTCTGCTTCCATCTCCATCGGTCATTCAGGTACCCATATCACCCTTGACCCGTTTCCCTCGTCTTGGCTGTGATCATCTACCTGCTCAGCTATGCTCCCGATGCTCTCCCTCTGTCTAGTCCGTTCACCATCTTCCGTATTAGCACATTTTCCCCTTTTTTCTATGTCTTCGCCCGTACTCGGCGTTTTGTCTGCAACAGTACTTTCATCCCCTCTCATCTGCTTCCCCAGTGTTTTATTGTCCTGCACTTCATCTCCAATGGTTTGGCTAATCGTGTTCTGTCCGTTCGTCCGCCTGTTTTTCCTACTGTCCGCTTAATTGCACCTCACCATGATGCAACCGGTTGTGTCCCCAAAAGAAAAAAAAAATAAAGCTAAAAATAACAGCACCTGCATGCATTACCACACTACACAGCGAGCAAGCAAGCAATGATGACTCTGTTTTTTATCTCTGCTTTTTGTTGCCTCCGTTTCTGCCCTGCCTTTTGCTTGTCGATGTTTCCTATTTCTCTCTTCCATTTGCTTTTCCCTTTCCCGTTCTCTCTTACTAGTATAATATTGAAACTTATTTGGTGATAGACTATAACTGTTGACGTCTCGTCCTCGTCCCTTCTTTATTATAGCGATAATGAAGAGAGCCGATAATAATATTAATTTATATAAGTGTCCATAGATATATCTATTTACCTCTCTATTTCTTCATCGTCGAAATCTCTCGGATATCACCCTAAGTTTCTCCATCAAATCTCATCTGTCTCCAGTTTTACCCTGTTTGATCGGCTCTTTAGTTTTCTCTCCGTGGCGATGGGAGGAGCCGTAGCCGCTCACCCGCATATACAGCCAGTGAAATACTGCGTACGTATCACAAGTTAATCTCCCATCTATCCACCCATCAGCATCAGCCGACATGCAAAACTAAAAGCCTCCATCCAACTGCCCAGGTTCCCCTCGATCGGGAATCTCCTATCTTGAAGCCGCCGTCCTCCGTGACGTGCAAGAAAATCTAGCCGACCCAACTGACCAACCCCCTTTTTCCCATCGTCAATTTCGGCTCGAGATCATCCCAACGCCCTTTCTCATTCTCCAATCACCTGCATCATCGCCTATTCGTTCCTTTCCGCGCACCCACATTACAGTTTCTGTTCTGTTTGGCGGTTCCTAGCTAGCGAATGATCGCGTGTGCATGAACGGGCAGATATGCAAGCCTTGGTTTGGTATTGGGTATATAACCTGGCGGAATCGAGCAGGGCACGGCAGAGCAGAACAGGGCAATGCATGTTGTAACTCGCTCGTTATATTGGCACAGCCGGCGTGAATCTGCCTTGGAGTGAAGACGCTTTCTTTCTTTTTCTCTTCTAGTCAACCAAGTTAACGAGTTTGAGCCGTCGTTTTTGCTTTTCGGGCGGGAAGACGAAAAGGAGCCCAAGTTTGGTTGAGCCTGTCACGTGATACACATTTGGCCCTTAAGGCTTCGTTTGGTCAAGCCGAGGGTGAAACTGGACATCAAGCCCGCTGGAGGGAGTCAGGCCAGGCCAGGCCAGCTGAGGATGGACGGCGATAGATGGCATGCAAGACTCGGAGGAGGAGAGGATGTGCATTTGCTCCCCGGGCGGAATGGCAAGGATGAACAGCGGCAGCCATTGCTTCTATCGCCGTATGCAAGGACCGGTGTTTGGATGACGGTGGTGTGATACCCAGGTTCACTTGGACTGCATGGACATAGAACGGCTTTGGCTGATCGACTGTGTAGGACTACTTGGTATATATGGGACTATATACTTGTTTCCTGCCTTGAAACATCATCAAGTCAACCGTTCCTTAGGTCGATCAGTTATAGCATACCCCAACCATATCAAACGATGGAGTCGTGAGAGATGGGTTAGCCTGCTGTATGATCTCTCGGATGGTGTATTCCGTCCCCAGAATCTGCGGCACACACAGCTTTCCTACCCTTGTTGCCCGGCGATCAAATCGATCCAGTCCTGATACCTGCTCTCTGCGCTTGCGCCATATTCTCTTCCCTACTGCTTCCCTGGCCTTGACGTTGTTATGCGTGCCCCTTGCGACACGGCGATGAAATACCAATCAGAGGTCAGGGAAGTGGGAAGGGGGGTGAGTGAAGAGGGTTAGAAGGAAGTCGTGGCGTTAGAAACCAGCCTTCTCCTCCTTATATTCGTCATATGGAGACTTTCTCATTCGAACGGATGTTTCTCCCGCCATGCCTGTCATGAGGACGGGAACGAAGATAAGAGCAGGCAGAAGAAAGTAACTCTCTGAGAAAAACCTACAACAAACCCAACCTAACTCCTACCTTGCATTTGGTCGCATTTGCAGTCCTTCAATATGCCTTGGCACCGTCTTGGAAAACCGCGCAACACCACCGCCTCAATTCGTGGCGCCACTTATGGTCTGGTGCTCGGATATTTTATTCTCGGGCCTCCCAGTTGATGCGGTTATCCATGTCGGCTACCCCACAGCGCTTGGGGCAGGGGGGGCCCGTTATGGTTATGCTTTGTATAATTCTTCAATTTGAGGGAGGATCTCCAGCCCCATATGCATATATGGCGCAGCGTCTAAATACTTTTCCGTTTCTTTTGTGAAAAAAAAGGGCCTCCTTCTCGCCCTGGCTATGGCAAGGGCACTGGCCCGGATGGCAATGGGACAGAGAAATCCAATGCATGCAAGTGTATGATCTGCCCCAACCTTATTTTGGCCTCTGGCTTTGACCGTTCTAGGGGTTTGAAAGGTTTGTATTACCCCAAAGCATGTTCCCTGTCTGCTTATCTATCTGTCCTTTTACGTATTCGCATCAATATTGCCTGTCCATCAAGCCTGTCCAGTACCGCATCAAAGGAAGGCAGGCATTGAAGGATATACCTAAACGACCATCCCGTCCTTATTATTCCGGCCGTGCCTTGAGGGAAGGAGCGCCTAGTACCAGCCCGAGCAAGCAATCATGCATCCCGTTCTCTTAACTGCATTGCTTTCCTCTGGGGTAAAAACCAAACTGTTACCAGGGGGCTGAACTTAACCCTGCTTTTGTTTAAAGTGGCCGTTCGCACATATTTTTCTCCAATTGCCAACACATATATTGCTCAGGCATATTTTAGGGGAGGCCCTCGCTATCTTCGGGGGCAGAGAACACAGACAGCAACCCAGCCCATCTACAAGGGTTACAAGGTGGAGCGGAGAAATGATCTAATAAACATACGAGTAACCGGAAGTATCCGATTAAGGATATTAACCGACCATCTCGTTCAAATCCCTCACATATCCACATATCCATACTCCGTATACGTATTCGAGGTGGCCCTCCAGACACGGAATATGATAATTTCAACCATTCTTCTAACATCTGGGAAATTCAACCCCTTCTTAATCGTAACATTAACCGAAAAAAAAATGCTTTCTCAACGTTCAACGCCCTGTCTACTTCACCCTGTATCCCGGCAAGCTCCGTCGTTCGAGAAGCTGAGTCTGGAGACGCCTCGGCTCCCCTTCACGTGCATAACTGCTTGTTTACCATTTTAAAGGCCTTTATGATGGTATCCCAGCGCCAGGATTACCATTGGCATGACTACAAGATACTGTGTCTTAAGTCAGCGGTGCAAGATGCCAACGTTGGTGGAGCCATCTAGGTAAGCGATGGGGAATTGAGCAAGGGGGTTAAGCACCATTCCATGATCAACCTACCTCCCTAGCAGCGACGAAATGATATTTAGACACAAGAACGACTGTGCAAATAAGATAGACGTTATGTAAATAAAAGCTATTAGCAAAGTCTACCCCCACAGGTTTGCAAGAGGGACCTGGGGAGTCCATTTCTCTTATTAATCAGTTGAGTATTCTAGATCTCGCATAGGCGCCGAATGCTATGGATCGGACGGGGCGAACTATTGAGAGCAATCCTTGCCCCTGAGAGACACCTATGTGATGGAATAGGAGATGTCTCGCCAGATATGGATTCGCAGCTGAAATTTTAGCTATATCGAGCATGTTAAGTAAACGTGCCTGTGTACCCCTTCTCGGGACATTAAAGGATATTATCCATTTATAGACAGTATATAGCTATAAGATGGGTGATATCAGCGTAGCTTCCCTCCTCTCCAGGACAATATTAACGGATGACCATATCGGGACAAGCCTTTATCGAAGACACCCTTCCGCCCTGCAAAGCATTGCCGAGTGCTCGGCATGTCTGAGAATCGAATCGTGATGCTTGACTCATCCAGAGCTCTCCCTGGACCACTTGGTTGCCTGCGCCACCAGCATTCCCAGAGCACGCATGTAATTCTAGAATCCTCTTTCTTGGATTTACCCAGAAAGCCCGTCGGGATCACCAATACACACTCGCCAGAATAATTAACCCAACCATAAAAGAAGTCACCTGGCCAGACATGCCCCCAGGTCCTATGGCTGTTGGCGTGGGGCCGCTCAAAACCGCACAAACACGGTATATACTAACGAGTAGAATGCTGAGGGGTGTTGCCTGGTACGTGTATCGCGGCTAGTACAAGGCCTGCCAACGACCTAACCTATCGCACCTGTATTGTGGCTTCTTCTATTCGCAACAGTTTTGAATTGACCCTACCCCGGTTATAAACATGAACCGAAGCCGCCAAGATGAAATGAGATAGTTGTCCTTATCGGAGTTCGGTCGGCACCGTGCCTGTTGGTGATG